TCGTTCGCTATTGTGTACGACCCTGTAGGTTCACTAAATATTAGCAGTGTGCTCAAAACTCTTTTTGGCCCATAAGTCATAAGCGGTCTCTAGCATGACATTATGACTACCTAAGTATAGTGAATGTCGATTTTCCGACACAACCTAATCCACAACTAATATTAGAGTATCAACCTTGATTGATTCCTAGGGCAGACCACTAACCATCAATCTGTAACGATTTTCAATTTGATGCAAGAAATGATGAAGAAAAATCGGCTCTCTCTTTCATTTACCTACAAATTATTACTCTAAACATAATCCAACAATATATATACCCAAACAAGGAAGAAATTCTTTTCTCTCCTTCCATTTTCTTTCCTTTCTCTGCTAGGCTTTAAATACAAATTTTTTTGTTCATGTTCTCTATATTATTTAGTGCAGAGTAAAGAAGAAGGTCCGTTGTATCTTGGGAGGATAGCCGTTCAAGCCTGTTGCACCGAGCTTTCTACTTCAAGAGACGGAATTATCCTTAAGGACAGTATTTGCACGATTCAGACAATTGATCTTATTTTAATCTTTTCCAACAAATGGTAAGTGCCCAATCACAGTTTTGGTTCCGTGTGAGACAAAGTAATGCTTTTCATTGATTATGGTTTGCAGTTAATTTTGGACAGGAGGGACATTGGCAAACTCTAACGAACCTAAAATTCAAGACTATTAACGAGCATATGACTGCCGATAAATAAGATATTCTATCTTAACTTAATCGCCAATCAATAATTTGATTAACTCAGGTTCTATAAATTGGTATGACCGATTGAGATCTTAAGTCTTTATAAAAGGCACATGTTAAGACTCTCGGATCTCATTCCTACAGGAAGCACTTCTTAGGACTGAACACGAGGAAGTAATGGTTCCGACCACTAAGTTCGATTTGGTCGATTGAGTCATACACCTTTAATATAGATATAATGTGATTTCGCCGAAGGCGATATTTAGTTGTCTAGAAAATTGCGCTGTTTTAATTTTTCATGAAATGGAAGGTGATTTCAACCATGATCACATCGAATTTGTTGATTATTGAACGAAGAACTTGAATAGAGAGCTAATAGGGAAAAGGAAACCCAAACTTTATGAGAATTGAAGGGAAATTAGAATTGTAAAATTCAAAGTTTCCCCTTCATCCACAGATTTCATTTTTCAATTGATTCATATTCCTGATTTTACTCAATACCACGATCCCAATCCCCCGACCTTAGTGGACATTTCAATCCATTGCCTCGTATCCGAGGGAGAGGAGGGGGCGGGGATTCGAGCAAAGACAAAACTTTAGCACCAACTTTCGGTAATCCAAAGTAAATGCATGGAAGAAATTAAACTATTAGGTGTTAATATCGTCTCGATTTTCCAAATTGTAACAGCAATTTGAAGGACCTACTTTTGATCCCAATGCACGGAAAAAATTAAACTAATAGGTGTCCAATTTAGGCAGATTCTTGATCATTCGCAGAAGAATGTTCAGTTTGAGGTCGCAGATTTTATCTGCACATCGCTGCCGACTGTGCAATCTTGTTTGCCCCTCAGGCCCGTGTTTTAGGAATTAGCTAAAATTTCTTAGAGATTGATAATCGATTGGAGAATCGAATTTGTGACCTTAGATTTGCAAATCAAGTCCCGGACCGCTCGACCAACCATCATGGTGGTTATCATCCACGGTAGTTGATGTGGGATAAAAAGTAATACTATCCTTGTTGGTGCTCTCTTAAAACTAGCAGAAGTCCCTTTGACAGACAACGCATGTCAACCGGCGAATTTAGATACGAATATTAAAAAGGGAAGATCCCATGTGAGAATTTAAGATTTGTCTACGAGGAAACTTTTGATTCCAAAAAATGACCAACCTTTAGTTATGATCGATCGGTGACAAAGTTAGTCTATAATAGTAGAGTTTGGTGAATAAAAGAAGTCGTTGATGAAAACAAAGTCAATAACTTGAAAAGCATCGACAATTCACCAAGAATGTTATCGACATCAAACATTAATTATCGATGAGAACCTTCACATGTAACTGCCGAGAAGCAATATTGTCGTATATGTAACTTTTTTTAGATAAGTATTACTAGATAATATATAACTGCTAGGTGGTTACGTTTAGTGCCGTTATTTTAGGATTTTTGTAACTTCTTTAACCGCAGATAAGATTAGGAAGTTATTTGTTTTGAAGATTGAATTAGGAAGTTATCTTTTTAAATTCAACTACCGATTGCAACCGTCAATTGTAGGCTTTAAATAATCACACATCACACCGTACTCTTTCTAAACCCCCGATTAATGACAGTCTTTGCAAATTTATCTTTATCTTTACTTTTCCGCAATTTAAATGGCTGGCCACAATTGCTTCTAGTCTTCGTGTCTTTATATTCATTGTCATTTACTTTCCTGTCCAAAATCAACAAAGAACCCTTTACAACCTTTGTCGATTCATACATCAATCCATATATATATTCGAAAGGTATTTTATTGTCGATTCAATTCCGGTGAAACATCCTTTTGGATATATCAAATGGTATTTCGTCGTCGATTCAATTCTAGCCGGACAGAAACTTAGCATATATGGGAGTCAAAAAACTTACATACGAGCAAGAGAAACTAAACGGGCAGAAGACATGAGGGCAACTTCTTTGCAGATCATCTGGTGATTCAACTTGTTTGTAGAGTTCTTGTTAATCAAGTTAAGGACCTTCCTTTTGTTCTTTTGGCTAGTTCTTTTTCTATTTATGAGACTAATCCTAATTTACTAATACTACTATCCCGATCCCCCTTGTTGCCGGACCTCTCAACCCGTCTAGTCGAAGTGGAACTTAATAGGAAGATCTTGATATTTGACGGAGGGGACTTGAGCATAGACAACTTTAGCACCGACTTTAGGGAACCGAAAGCAAATGCACAGAAGAAATTAAACTCATAGGCTACACTTGGTAGACAGGATAAAAGTTGAGATAGGATAAAATTTTATCTTATCCTGTATTTGGTTCCTACCCAAGACAGGATCAAGTCAGATATAAGGGGATACAGCATGGATAAAAATATCCCATGAAGTGGATGGGATAAAGATGGATATTAATTTTTATATTCATGATGTAAAGTTTATTTTTTCGAATAACAAATTTCTTAAATTAATAAAATTAAAATAATAATAAAATATAAATAATATTTCAATTCTAATATAAAAAATAAAAAATAAACAATAAATTTTTTTTGGTAAGTAAAAAAAAAATAATTTTCATTTATATTTATTCCTATTTTTATTTAAATATTTGAATATCTTTCTACTGTATAATATATATTGTGTGTGTGTATACACACACACACACACACATAGTATCTATATTTATTGCATATTTGAGGTATAATATCTTTCTTACAATACATATATATATATATATATATATATATATATATATATATATATATATATATATATATTATATACATACCTACATATAGTATCTATATTTATTTTATATTTGAGGTATATTAGTATAGTTTATTATTTAATAATTTTTTTTTATTAAGGAATGGTAGAAGGGAATAAAAAAGAAAGAAAAAAAGAGATAGAAAAATAATAAAAAAATAAGTAATTAAAATGAAGTAGAAGAATCCAAATTTTAAATGAACCAATTCAATCTTGAAAAGTATCTTTCTAATTCTCAAAGAATGAGGAGTAATGAGAATTCTGAATAAAAAAACCTATGCTCTCCATCTGCTTCTCCTTTGTATGTTGTAACTTCATGACTCATCCTTGTTTCTTTTGTTCACATTAAAGGTTCACGAAAACGGCGAGAGAGTCGAAGCTTCTTCTCTACTGTAACTCTCTAGTTCACGTCAAAAGTCAACAAAAGCGGTAAGAGAGCCAAAACTTGCTATGTAATTCTGAGGTTCAAGTTAAAGTTTCACGAAAGGGACAAGAGAGTCGAAGACCTAAACTTTTCAAAATCGCCAGGGTGAATGATCACGTTTTTTCTCTCTTAATAGATATGGCGTTCGTTGGCTAATATGTCCCGTTGATGTTGGTGTAACCCATTTACATGTCATAGTCAAACTTGTGGCTCTGAAATGCTTCAATAAGCTCCTTTGCTGCTTAAAATTTAGATCTTACAATAGTCATAAGTTGAATGATGGAGGTTATCTCCATTTATGCATTTGCAATTTCTTTAATAGTGAATTCTTACAATCTCCGTTTGTAAATTTTCGGGTTCATAGACATCGATTTGTCGTTTATTCCAAACAATTGACAATATAAGATATGAAAATATCCGGTTTTATTACTGTGATTCACAAAACAGTGGATAGGATATAGCAAAATCCCTTCATATCCTTTTTTATCCAGTCTTATCTAAGTTAGAAATCCAGACGACCAAAGGTAACCATAGATGTTTATACCATCTTAAACTCTCCAAAATGTAGTAATTCAAAGGAGCTACTCTTATTCTATTTAATCTAGAATAATACTGGAGATACTAAGATTCGGATGCTGATTGACTCCAAGTTCGAGACTTTGTTCACGAAAGACTCATGACCGGTATACTAATTAGTTGGTAAGAGCAGTCTAATCTCTGTTGTGTTGTTATAACCTAATCTTACTCGTTCTTAAAGTGGCCTAGGATGAGTTCATTCAAGGAAGGATCCCTAAGTCGCGTGGCAATACCCGCAAATAAGAAAGTTGCACCTCACCAGGGAATATCCTTTCTGGGTGGGAACTCTTCGCTACTGGTCGAACGATTCTATCAAGATCAGCAAGAAAAGGCCCCTGACTATAGTACTAGAAGCTTACTCACCGGGGAATTGCTCTAAAAGCTTAGTCTAGATGTGTCATTCTCACTAAAGTGCTCATCCATGGAGAATGTTTGGTCTTTGGAAGTTTCCTGATTGGTTTGAGAACCTGATTGAAGAAGACCAGAATACTGTCCAGTTTGCTGCAGAAAGCCACACTGAGCACGTACAAGATTACCTTCATATTTCACATAAGAAAGAGAATTAAGTGATTAGAGTAATCAGACCAAGTGATTAGAGTACATACACAATGGTCTTCCCGCATGTACAAATCGACAAACTCACCTAGGTTTTCCTTATTGCAGCAACCCTAATAATTAGTGCATGTTTAAGCTCGACTCGAGCAGCAAGCAGAGCTAGAGGCTGCTGGACTATACAAACCTAAGCGCTTTTATTCCGTTAACGTGACACCATAGGCCATAATACAAAGCCTGAATAACGCTGCTCGCCAATTTTTTTGCCTAACCCTTGCAAAAAATCGAACTTGGCAGCTTACATTTCCTAGGTTACATATTTTCCCTTGTAATCTTACCCATTGCGCCGTCGATGTGCAGGAATTCGAAGGAATTCCCTACGACGTATGTTATTTATTCATTCCCAATTAGATGAAGGACATCCGCTTGACAAAGCGGCCTTTCATCCGAGGTCTCTTCTCGGCATTGAGCTTCCTCACTTGGTACCTTATTTTCTTGGAGAACATCCGGGTCCTTCTCTTCTCTCTATACCTTGACACTCTGGCTTCTCTCCCTCCATCATCGCCCCCAATGTGTGCCCCAAGCCCCATTGCTTCTGTGAACGGGCGATAATACTTCGAGGATTGGCTCGTGGTACCCTAAAATCAAAAGCAACACCGAGTGCATAAGCGTCGGAGTTAAGCCATTTCCAAAAAATCAGGAAGAGGGTACTATGAAAATCTGATGGTGATAAGAGTATGAATGAAGACTCGCATGCCTACACCACTATACTCAATGTGTTGATAATTATCTTATGCAAGCAAACAGTCATAAGATAAAATCAGAAAGTCCTGACGATCCAAGTCATCACCAATTCATTCATTAAACCAATATGCCAAAGAGATCTAACAGGAAGATTCATTGAATTTTCCTGCAGGTTCGAACAAGAAGAAGGTTGAACTTTCAGACACTTCTAATTCTTGTCGAGTTATTGGTTACCGTTTTCCCTTTCGTCACTCGAACTATACTAGCTATTACTAATGACATGCAATTGGCTGCTCAAACCTTACGTCTGACCTTATTATATATTTGTATATGACTCCCATCTGGAGGAATTATTACCAAGGAGATAGGATACAAGATCTGCTCTTCTTTCAATTCTGGAAAGATTGTATATATATATAGAGAGAGCAATACCATATTGGAGCTAGGCCATCCCTCATCGGGGTTGAAATCGGGTCGATCTCCGGTTGTCCATGGAGAGGCTTGACTGGCCCAAGCGTCCAGCACACCCTCATAATTTAGCCTCAACAACATCTTCCTCTTCTTCTTCATTGTCGCCTTTTCTTTGACATCACCACTTATCACCATCCTCATCTTCTTCTCGTCCTCTTCCTTTTCTTCAATCCCTAGTGACTGACCGTGATTGTCATTATAGCAATCAAAGTCCCAGTCCACATCATCGCCACCACCCGTCGCATCAAACCCTATCTCCATGTGGAAGTCCAGGGCTCCTCCTCCCACCAATCCCTCCACTTTTACCACTCCTTGATCTCTCCTTTCAAAGCAAACCCCAATCACTCCATCTTCTTCATGATGGCCTTCCTCTTTGCACTCCAACAACAGTCCCAGGTCTTTCACATCACTTGCGAAATCTTCCTCAGTCCCTCCTTCGTTGTCGTTGCTCAACAAGTTCTCCACGTCGGCTGCAAACTCTGCGAGGTCCATGTCCGAGGGCAGGTCGAACGACCCATCTTGGAGAACATCATCGCCCACGCGTACTAAATCCGCCATCTCATCCTCGATCACTTCGGATGCGAAAGGGTCAAAAACTGGCACCCGACAAAGAAACTGTTCTTCGTCTTCTTCATTATAATTCTCATTTGGTGACTCTCCTAAGTCGTTGCCGATCTCGGGAACTAGGTCATGATCAATGAAATTGTCGTCAAGAGCGAGGTTCAGTTTCGAAACTTTGCCGTCCTCACAATGGTTATTCCTCGCCTGCGACTGAAGCAGGATCTTCTTGCTGATGCGGGGCGTCCGGGCCTTGCGGGTGAACCCGCCGTGCCACGCCGGTGCTGCTGAATTGTCGACAAATTGGGGTGGGGTTGATGACGGCAATTTGGTGCCACGAATCCTGGAAGATGACGATGAGGCCGTCCCGAGGCGGACCCTCTCGTGCCGCTGCGCCAGCTGGTTCGCGGAGTGCACGGAGGAGTCGCAGCCCTGGCAGAGGAAGGCATCATCCGCTGCGCAGTACCATCGGGCTCGCCGCCGCAAGCAGCTGTCGCAGGCGCGAGCGGTCTTCGCCCCAAAGGCATTGGCGGCCTTCCTCTCTGTAATCATGACAGGTTCGCGACGGCGCGGAGGATTTCAAGAAACTGAAGAACGAGAGAGTCAGTGCGCTGAGGGGAGTGAGAGTGCGGGAGTGCAGAATGAGTTGGCAAAGAGAATGTCGAGTCGGTTTCAAGTATTTATGTGCAGGCCCCAACTGGTGCAATTATTGATTCTCTCCATTAATTCATTTGAATTTTCTTTCTGTATGCGGAAGAGCGATTCTGGCATGGATTGGCTCATGGCTCTTAAGGAAAGACCTTACCCTACCCTACAGCGAGGGTGCTTTTTGCTCATTGCCATGGGTCGCTCCGGTATTGCCGCATCTTGCCCATGAGCTTTTGACCGTATCTTTGCACAGTGTCTCTGTCCCTGTTATTTTCGTGCTGTTTGTGGGCATTCTCGGGGGCCCCCGCACATTGGTCTTATCTCAGTGGTGATTGGTTGGAGATTTCAAGTTCATCCGAATCCCCGCCTTCCTATTGGCTGGACGTCGCCGAGGAGGATTCCTCGCGGGTCCAGCGCCTTGGATCTTCTTTCGATTTCTCGTTCCCATGCAAAGTGACGGCCCCACTTCACGCTCTCTCTGTCCCTCTAGCGAGCCACGACCCTCTTGTTGTTTTGTCTTTACGTGTCAATTATTCCCGTTACATCTTTATTACCCTTGTTCGTAAGTCCAGAAGGTTGCTCTCAACCTCTCCCTCTCTCTCTGCTATGTCTCTGTCTGTCTCTCTCTCTATGCGAGATGCATTTAGGTCCATCGGATGCAAGGCTGAACGTGAAGGACCGTCGATCATGCCTCATGTTCACAGGCGAGAGAGTTCAGCTTTAGAGGTCGTTAATTTGGTTGGCTCGACGATGAATCTGCGCCACACGCACATGAGCATATATTAAGGAGAGAGAGAAATTCTGGGGATTCGATGTAGTTTCTTTTCAATTTTGGCTGGTCGAGGTCCAAAGTCGGGTACTCGCTCGTTACCGCAATCTTGAACCATGGCCGGTCACACCATGTTGAGGCTGAAAACTTTTCATTCTGATTAACAAGAGGAGAGACCACAAACCCTCCCCCCAAGTCTGTTACTTGATGTATCCTTAAGGTTTCTTGGTGTTGACATGTCTTGCTTTATGCAATTTCAATGAAACAGAATGATAGGAAAGTTTGAAAAATTCAATTTATTGGAGAGAAAGAACAGGTTATTAGCGTCGTGTCGAAGTTTTATTTATAACAGACTCCATGGGTTAAAGGCGAGTAATAAAATGATTGAGATCTTGCGCCTTAAGAAGCGTGAGGTCTTGAGTTTGATCCCTATATCTGATGCATCCAATTAGAGTCGTGTTACAAGGAAGTGGTTCCTTTTGAATTCATTAGTCTTGACATATGTGGCATGTCTTTGACCATACCCGTAATGAAAAACGAGTCTAGTGTGCGAAAATCAGCGGCCTAGAATACCGCCTGATCGGCTACGCAAAGAGTTCTTAATAGTGCTCTAGTTGATATTTATCTCCTGATTCTGTAATAATCGTTGGTTCTCACGCATCATTTAGTTAGATGTAGCTAAATTCCATATCCGAATTCTTTAACAGAAAAATGGATGCACACGCCAAGAGTTAGCATCAAAAGCTATGACTCCTATGCAACGACGGCCAAGATATAACACAGTTCATCTTTCAACATTTAGTTTTGTCAATAGTTGTGTCTCGAGTTGTCAAGGTTGATAGAAACCTTAACAATATTGCTGACAAACTTGACAGGGATGATCTCTCTGATATATGTACCCACATTTTTTAGATATATTATGGTTCTCTTATTGCCAAAAAGAAACACGATTTATTAATAACATAAGTGGAAAAACAAAAGCACTTAATCAATAATCAGTGACTTGATAGGAGTCATGCCACAGAAATGGCTAAAACGATATTAAATTCTGTGAGATTCCCAAAGTCGTTGACATCGACCACGAGACTAGATGCGAATATGCGATGCAGTTGTCATTCATTGATGGAAGATAGGAGCCCCCAATTACGATTGAGCTGGTCATCCTTTCATGCTTTTGCGGTGGTTTTTTTTCTTTGGATTAGGTTCTGTCGCTGCCGGGCAGCAACCTTAAGGCTGCCGTCCAGACACGTGTCGTCCTACGTGGCCGGCGGGCTAGGGAGTGGAGGGCTGAGGGAGGAGCTTGACCGTGTTGGTTGTGGCGCGGTGGCCACGATCACTTGGACGGTGTCGATGATGGTCCAGCAGTGCCATCGATTCTGGCGGCGGTGGAGGGGGGGGGGTCGGCGCAATCCGGCGGCAACAAAAGAGAAGGGAGAGAGAAAGATGGACTAGGTTTGGGTTAACATGATGAGATCGTGTGCGATGTGTTAGGAGCACATATTGGCGACTAAACACTGAATAAATGACTGATCCAATAATAGATGAATCCCATCATAGCTAATCTCTGAATTATAAGACGAACTCACCACTCAAAAGCGACCAGATCAGATGTTTTTGAGACGGAGATTATAACAGTATAACTCATAGGTGGCAACTTATTGTCTAAATTAAGCCTACCAACGATATGCGAGTCGAGTTTTTCCTACGCTTTGCAAAAAAGATGCCTCGGAGCAGATGCCGCGAGCATTCGGTAAAAATAAATAAATAAAAAGCCCATCTCGCCAGGCATCCGACATAGGGGTGAAGCGTCGACAACATGAGAACTGGGCGTATGGCGACTCAATCCAAGATTTTAGTTGAGGCTGTTAGGATTCCTGATTTATCCCGGTTCAAACAGAGAGTCAAGGCGAGGAAGAAAAATCTAGAAACAAGATTTATCCGGATTCACCCTTAAATTAGGGTTACATTCAGCACATGATTCAACTATAATTAGCACATTCCACTTACAAAACTTAATTACAAGAGAAATATATTATATATATAGACGGCACAATAGCTATTTATGGGCCCAAACTTAAATTACCAATAAAATGGGAGCCCAAACTATAAAAGCCCTTTGGCGACTAGGGGGTGCTGCCCTGTCGATCCCCGGACCCTGCTCGCTCACCGAGAAGCGGGACCCTTGTGCCTTCCTGCCGATGGAGAGTATGAATCACCCCAAAAGAGGCGACACGAGCAGGGCCATCGGTCCGCTGTCAACCCGGTGTAACCATGGGGCTCATGAGTGCCTGAAAAAGGTTTGACCCGGCCCATGGTCCCAAGGCTCAACACTGCCAACATTATACGTTCCACATGCATATTGGGCCTGAGCCAAGAAGAAGAGATTTCAAACGAGACTCATATTCAATGCAAGAACTTGGTCGCCGATGTTGCATCTAACAAACCAGCAGCTCAATACAAATGGTACCTTCTCGGACCAAAAAAAGAAAAAAAACAATGGTACCATCTAACGACCAATCCATGGTCCAACGCTGTTATGGACCATGGTCGAGTTCAAGGGTTTGTTTCTTCCTTTAACATGTTCATGCTGGCCAGTGCTCATGGAAGAATGTCCTGTTGGGGAGAGAGTATTTTATATATTTCGATTACACGGGCTGACGTTGTGCAACCCATCAATTACATTGCTCGCACGATATGCATGGCAACCAAACCTTCAGGGAAAAATAACCAAAAAATAACCTAAATCTATTGCACTTGTTTTACTTCGATCGTAAGTTTTTCAATTTGGCAAATATAATTCTAAACCGTTTGATAATTTGCCAATATAATTCATCCGACCAATTTTGGCCGGAAATTGATGATGTGGACATTGATTGTCCTACATGGCAACGCTGATGTTGACGTGAATTTTTTTTTGAATTTTTTTCTTTCTTTATTGTAAAGGGCCGGGGGCCACAGGCTGAGTCCTGGTGACCCCCTGTGGCCCCCGCCAGCCACTGGGCGAGGGCTTGCGAGCCGTCGCTGGCCGTTGGTGAGGGTTGCAACCCTTGCCCAACGGCCAGGGCGGTGAGTCCTTGCCCAGCTTTGAGCGAGGGCTACAACCATCGCCAAAGGTTAGCGAGAACTTCACGACCCTTGCCCAGTGGCTATCGAGGGTTGACGGGCCTCGTTCGATGGCTGGCGGCCCCCTGCTAGCACTTAACAATAAAAAAGAAAAGAAAAGAAAAAATTAATAAACAAAATTCAAAAATTCAAAAAATTTCCACGGTAATGTCGACCGTGCCACGTAGGATGGCTAATGTCCACGTCATCAATTTCTAGCCAAATTGGCCGGATGGACTATATTGGCAAATTGTCAAAATATTTATGACTATATTGACCAAATTAAAAAGCTTATGACCGAATTAATACAAGTGCAATAAGTTTAGGTTATTTTTTGGTATTTTTCCCCCAAACTTCAAGTTCAACTCTTGAAAACTCTCACCCACGATTATCTTATTTCCCCGCTTATTATTGCATGGGCCGACGCACAAAGTACCTTCTTTCCGTCCGTGATACTGAGTAAGCCAAAGGATTTTGCAGATCAATGTATAACTGGAGAGAGCTAAAACTACGTAAACCTTAATCTACTACTTTGCTTGACATTGACTTCTCTAGATTATCATTGAAAAGGGTGATTGATTAAGCAATCACTTTCATCTCTCCGATGAGTCTGAAGCCACATAAACTTCTCAATTTTTTCCTTCATCACTTTCTTGCTATGTATCTGCAGCATCTTTGCTAGCAAGTTCATTGACCCATTCCATGATTGTAGGTCGAGGACATATAATAAACTAAATGGGTTTTATTTATTTATTTATCGAAATTGGCATATAATGTAACTTACGTTTATATACATCGGCAAGATCTGTTTATTGAGGATTTTGTACATCTCTTTTGTGTTCGTCGTATCATGTGTCATGAACATGCGCAGAAGCACGTCAATCAAGGCTTTAATCTTTTCATTGAGAGGACAAGTTAGTGATTTTCTCCCCGTTGCATTATTGATAAGGGCCCGTTTGGCAACGTGCCAAACAGTGAAAATTTCTGTTCTTTTGTTCCCAGAAATAGTTTGGGAACAGAAATGCGTTTGGTAAACTTTTTGTTCCCGGGCACATTTTTGCAAAAATTTGTGCCGAGAAACAAGAAGTAAAAAAAAGTTGCTTCTTGTTTCTCGGCACAATTTTAAGAATCAGTTTTTTTTCTTCTTTTTCTTTTTTTTCTTTTCTTATTTTTGTGTTGTTCTTCCCTGGGCAATGCCGGCGGTCGGCGACCAGCCACAGCCCAGGGCCGGCGAGGGCGTCATGGCCCTCGCCGGCCGCCGGCGGAGGCGAGGGTTGCCCTCGCCGGCCTTGGGCTGTGGCTGGTCGCCGGCCGTTGGTTGCCGGCGACCGGCCATGGCCAAAGAAGAAAATGGGTAAAAAGAAAAAAAAATTTAAACAATTCAAAATATTATTAAAATATTATTTGGGAACAGAAATTTTGTATAGTTACCAAACGCATTTCTGTTCTTTTCTACTCTAGGAATAGAAATTTTGGTCAGTTTATCAAACGCCTTCAAATACTCAAAAATTGTTTCCGGGAACAGAATAAAAAAAAATCATTTTTGTTCAGAAATAGTTTCCGGACACAGAATGGTATTCATACGCACCCTAAGCGATAGGCTTTGCTATCTACGTCGAGTTCAAATATACAACAGATAGTTTTCTTCTGGCACTCATGAATTGTTTCTCGATCTACTTGATGTTGATGCTATCTTTATCCTTTCATATTCGGAAACATTTTGCCTTCGAGGTCATCTCATTGCTTTTTATATTGTGATGTTGACCACAATTCGTCGTCGTTTTCTAGCTTTGATCAAGTTATATTGTGCTGTTCATGTCAATTACGGATAGAGACTCTTCTAATCATGAGGGTTATTAAATTCACCTTAACGTTTTTTTTTTTTGTAATCGAGGTGTCCGGGTCAGCTTGCGCGCACTTTGATTATTCCTCGGGGGAGACTAGCACAACAACCCACCACCATGGCCCCCCACTTAAATCACAAGTGCTCAGCTGAGGAATCGAACTTGGGACCAGTGCGCCTAACCACACAATCTCAAGTACTTCATTTTGATGTCACTGTTTTGCAACAATAGTTATTAAAATGACGGTGAAAAGGATAAAGACTATTAATAAGAGCAAATAGTTTAATAAACTACGAATCAATCTATATATTTTCGCATGTTTTATCTTCCGATGACTATTTTAGAAAACACCTTTTCAGTAGTAAAAAAGGGATGGAAAGAGGCGACCAGCATCGATAATCCTCTTGGACGTTACCATGAGAGTTCAACACCGCGATGGAGTATGTAGTTTCGAGCTATAACTACTTCATTTTGAGAAAGCCCATCCCCACCGCCCCACCGTGGTACTAGTGGAAATAGAGCCGGAGTTATTTTACGCCTTGACCTAGTCTAGCTTACGCCGCATATGATAATCAACGCTCCCTGAGGCCGGGGAGCGACAGGGAGTATCGAGCCTGTGACTAGGGGAGCCCCAAAGCACTTGAAACTAATCCTTATACCACTAGGCCAATCATTGTGGTGGTGACTACTCGAATATCTTGGGTACTTCTCTAGATGACAAAAAGTGATTATATACGAGGGTTCAGTTTGTTTTGCGAAAAATGAATGATCTAGAAACATTTTCCTAAAAATGATCATTTATATCGCTTATCAAAATGAATAAACAAAAAATGTTTCCATTGTTCATGAAAATATTTAAACATAAATTATTATCGATAGTAAAAATACTTTTCATTGACTAATTATTTTAAACGGTACGAGCGATCAATTTTTGAAAAATGATTTTCAAATTATTTATTTTTTGCTAAACAAACGGAATCTAAATATTTATAGTCGAATCTCATATCGAATGTCAATACACCTCTTTCTTCGGCTCAACTTTGAGCCACACATGGCAGGGGCCTCTTCTTGTTTTGTATCATGTTAGACAGTTGGACCCTCAAAGGTGAAATAAGAAAAGAAAAGAAAAGGCAGCGAATTGACCTTTATATCCGTCGAGAGGTCGGCCCGCCGCTTTGGAGAGAGACTCAATGATGGCGATCAATTGAATACTCCATTCATTTCGTGGAAAAATCAACAATTTTCCGCCGTTTGTGTCCGTGGATTGAAATTCAAAATGGTGGTACGATGCTGTTGGAAGAAACCATCTCAAGATTACAAGGATTTGTCAATTATCTTATTATATCTCTACTTTGTTTGAAGCTTACTTAGGGGTTATAACTTGCAATCCATAAATCTTCGTATTACCATAAGACCCGTCAAATGGATAGGGTTGGATCGAAAATGGTTCGACCCAAATTGATTCAGTTAATCGGTTTTGACCAATTCCCATATAATTCAAATTTAGAGACTCATAACCGATCCGACTCATACCTAATCCATACTCAACCCGTATTATTAAAACACTTCTATATTTTACATAATCTAAGAATAACTTATACCTAAATTGATATTAGAGTGTGGAGTAAGTGAGCGAGCGCAAGATCGAATGAGAGCGAGAGAGAATGAAGAGAGAATCGTAGAGGTAGATTGGGTTGTAAACCCATTTTGACCCATTTAACAGACATTTGATACACATATTATATTTAAATCAATTTATTGAATATAATCAACTCCTATAATTAGGGGTGATCGATTCTCGGGCGGTCTGGCTCCTGGTTCTCCCGTTCTTGCGTGGGAACCGGACCGGTGAGATCGGTTCCCCGTTCTTTGGAAGCGAGAACCGAATCAAATAGGTGGCTTCCCCCACTGTTGCTGAGCACCTCTCATGCTTCCAAGCCAAGCCACTCCTTCCAGCGTCGCTCATGGTAATCCTACTCATTGCCTATCCAGATTTGGCCACGTCCGTGGCTCGTGAGGCGGCTTGTACACAGATCTGGCAAGCCTGGACGATGGAAGAGTGGCTCAGCTTGAATGAGTTGCTGGTCTAACTTTAGAGTTGTGCCTCCTAATCGGGCCTGCGAACTTCCAGATGGTGGGTCATCCATGGAGCGACGACGGAGCGGGCTCGGCTTGGACGACTGAACTAACGACTCCACTGGTCTAGATGTGGAGCCTACGAACTTCTAGATCTTGAGCTAGCGACGACGGCTCCTCCATGGCTGCAAGCGACGATGGAGAGGACACAAGGTGTATCTCGGCTTGGATGAGCGACGCTACGATGACCATGGACAAACAGATTTATTTGGGCAACAAAGCGAAGAAGCTAGCTCTCTGGACAAGGAGGCATAATGGGAGTAGCGCATAAGGTATTTTCAGATTTGTAAGAAATTAAAAAAATAATCTGTCCAGTCCGGATGGTCCAAGTGTGCGGTTCCACCCTTGGAACCGGGAAGCGGACAACCCGAACTAAAATTCATTGGTTCCAATTTTATGGAATTGGGAATTAGATCGTTGATCTTGAGAGCCGCTCAGAACTAGTCGGTTCGGTCCGATCCGGGCAGTTCCTTTTTCTCACCCATATGTATAACAATTTAGTTCATTATATATAGTTTAAAAAATTGATTTATGACTTATTTTGACTTATCTAATTACTATTTTGTATTTTCCAAATATGTAAAAAGATTTTGTAAAAAGCACAGTGCTCTCGGATTGCAATCCACGCAATGTCTCGTCAAGATGAGAATCGATATCTACGTCAAGATTACAACACGATCGTACCCAACACTCGTAAACTGAACGAGCCATGTGACCTTAAAAGAGTCGATGCAAACATCTGCAACGAGGGGGAAGACATGGATTTCTGCAAACCTCCAAAGCCACGACAGGTGTCTCCCCAAGTTTCCAAAAGGGTCATTCAAAATATTCGTGAATTGCAGAGAAATCGCAGGGAAGAGATGGGGACAAAAGAACGAGTCCTCGGGCCTGGGATCACGACCGTCCGTTCGTTTGTACCTTGTTTTGGAATGACCATCGGACGACTAGGGTTCGGAGTTCCGTGCATCTTTGTCGGTTTCTTATGGCTGTCCTCTTGACCGAAAACCTTGGACGAACGTTTTGATAGTGGGAACATTTGTACGGCTGAATCTGCTCCCAAAGATTTGGTGGACAGGAGCCTTCCTGTGCAATTAGAAGCAAACCCCATGTTTTGATCTACAGATGACAGTGATATAATAAACATCATTGAAGCTGTTCAATTCAATTAAATGGTTTATATCGTCGTGCATAACTGATTCAGTGATGTCGTGTTTGCCGTATTTCAAATGTCAGAAGTTTGAGCCATATTTTAACGGATCTTTGGCCTACTTGGGCCTTTGAGTCTTGGGGCACTGCGGTCTCGAGTGAAGAGAATTACCCATTATTGACACAATTGACACACTTGACACGATGAGTTTATATTAGGGATTATATGGATAATTATGGTTTCGATCGAAGATTCAACGTTGAGTATGAGACTCTTAAGACAACAAGAGTCATCATAGCCTGTCCTTTAGCACACTTTTCACCAATCGAAAGAGTATGTAGTATATTAACAGTAAAATCCAACAATGCACCGAATGTCAAAACTTTCAAGCAATGAATTGAGGAACTAATCACCAAAGCCCACTAATGCTAAAATCTCACACTAGGTAAGCTACATGACTTGTGAAACAGCACGACAAGCTTTCTTAATTGTAAATCAGATGCACGTCACGAGAAGAAGCATTAAAACGAGGTTATTTCAAAGATAAACTGATAAAAGAAGATTAATCATAAAGTATATCTCAACAGTAAACTCCATCAAAAAAGGTGACGGATCAGTAGCGTCTTGAACAGCTGTGGGAGCAAAAGCAATCACGGGGCGTGCATCAACAGTGCACAGGATGCCATTGATTGCATTGCTTTAAACAGAGGTACACCCCCAATGAGAATGAGGACAAAAACCACCAAATGCTCATCTGATTATCTTATGAACCCATTTGGAAGATTCCCATGAATGAATCGTGGTGTCTCTTCATGCTGCGATGCCTTTTTTTGACCTGTTATGTCATCTCACTTCAGCCCCTGCATAAGGTGGTGACGAGCTAGTATATAAAGGAAGCAGCAGAGGAAGGCGAAACAGCACACCTCTGTGGTATCATCTCTCATCCTCCTCTCCAGGAAATCTTATACTAAGTACTTTAATTTCATAAGCTTCTCTGGTGTGTGGAAGGCCATACATAGTGAGCTCCCTTCAGTCCAATACAGAGGGTCGAGAGGCGGACCGAGCTGCCATCTCATGCACCAGGCTATGCTCAATCGTTTCGACGCTAGTTGGAGGGATCGATTGGGTCGGGTAATCAGTCAATCAAAGGTTGAGCCTAGCTAGGTGCATGGTGTGGGAGCAACTCCTTCCGTTGTGCTCTGCTCATTGATTGGACTGAAGGGAGCTCCCATAGCATCTCTCCATGTGGTTTCAGCATTAATCATCTTGTTCTTGGCTTGCATATGCATTGATATTGCTCTTCCTATATGTTGCTTGTTCCACTAATCTCTCCTTTTTCCTCGGATTTATTAGTCAAGAAACAAGTCCAAAGAGAAGAGGAAGCATTTCGATGCAGGGGAACGAGACACGACGCGGTCGAATCCAGCCAAACCATGCACACAGTGATGTAGACGACGCTTGATCTTTATCATCCAAGCCTGCCTAAGTGAGAGTGATTTCAGCCTCTGCTATGAGACTGCAACACAATGTTTTCCCTTCTACTTGTACCCTTTTTTGATGAGATTATCATGGTTGGTTTGTTAAGCCAGCCGAGTCTTTGTTCTTTGGCTCAGTACCTATCGCGGGGCAGACGCAGCAGCGAGCGCGCGAGTCTCGCCTTCAGTGACCCATGAAAGTGAAAACGATGGCCTGCTTTGGAGCACAAACTCAACCAGTGTAGAGATGGTGAAGAGGCGCATAACACAAGCAAGCTCATTGCACACTGACATTTCATGACTGAAAGTGATGAACTGAAGAAGCAGGACTAATAAGAAAGATCTCCCAGTGGGTTTCTGAGATCACAAAGCCTTGTAACAATGGTTCAATGCACTTGATTGGATGTAAATCGACTCCCGAGTCACCTCATCAGCAAGTTCAGTAAAGCTAGGGTTTCTTGTTTTGGATCATATGTTGGAATCGAAATCTCCAAGTAAATCCAAGATTGACGGCCAAAACAACTAAGTTCGAATCCTAGGATTTAATGAGACCTGAAGCAACTCGAGATTTTTATATTGAGTATGACCAATCCTGTGGGAAAGCTTGGGAACTGTAGGATGATAGGATCAACATCAAGTCTATTTGATCATCGTTATATATATACTATGCTTTCTCAAAGGAATATTACCTTGATATCGTATGACCAAAAAAATAACAAAAAGTTTTTTAAAGGGTTCACTTTGCCTAAAGATCTCTCATTCATTTTATAAAAAATAAGGGATTGAAATCCGTTGGAAACAATAGAATTCGACTCCTAAATAAGAATATGGGTAGCAAATTCGTCGGAAACAATAGAATTTGACTCCTAAATAAGAATGTCGGTAACGCGTAATTTCGCATTCGTATTGCATCTAGATACTAGAAATATTTATTTATTTTTTGTTTAGGATTGGCATGTCCTCATCGAATGAAACATAGGTACGGTCGTAAATTGCATTCGAATTGGGCCAAGGTGCGAAACGAGCTTGAATTTAGAGGTAATGGACTTCAAATTCATTTTAATCTTTTAAGACCAAGACCACATGAGCCCGGCCTCTATGTGAAACTGGGCCACTCCCATTCGTATTCTTGCATGGCAGAATGGTGTGGTTTTGAATTAGGGAAGAAGCTAATACAAAGATAAGAATAGGAAACATGGGAAAAATGAACCCTGAATTTTGGTTCAATATGCAATGTGATCCCTAAACTTTTAATTTACTCAATGTAGTCCATGAACTTTTGTTACATATTCAATTTAGTCTTTAAACTATATGAATATTGTTAATGGTGTCCCTGATCTTGAATTAATGAAAGGACTACATTAAACATATCCAAAAAGTCTATGAACTAGATTGAACAGATAAAAGTTCAAGGATCATATTGAACTTTAAACTAAAGTTCAGGGACCACATTGAACTAATTAAAATTTCAGGGACCACACTGCACACGGGGCCAAAGTTAATGGACCGTTTGTGTCATTATCCAATAAGAATATTCAGCCGGTACAAGATAGGAAATGTGAACTTGACCAAAATAGATTGGAAATAAAATAAAAAAAGGTGAGGAAATATAAAAAGAAAAATTAATTCCGTCTTTTGAAGATACAATTCAACCATATATTCACATATTCTCAAAAGGGAAATATATAATCTAATGGGAGAATTATCGGTAGAAAGCAAGCAAGTTGGTGTGGCCGAATAAGGAGCTTAGCAAAGAAAGAAAGAGCAAACTGAGGCATCCGGCGTTCCTCGTGTTCTCACTAGGTGAAAAAAATCTGAAATTCTTTGTCTCTAACCTTTCGATTAGTTCAATTACGTGGGTCTACTAGTGTTCTACTTTGATTTTGTCTGAGTATTTATTCCCGAGTGCAATCATAACCCGAATTAACAAAAAAAATGTGGAGCGACTGGACTCGGATATGGCTCATTTCGAACCAATTCCTTTTGCGTTCGATTTTGGTTTGAGTTTTATTTCGATGAGGATCCGGCACCCGAAAGTGCCGGTCTGATTTCCGATTATTAAAAGTGGAACTGGTGTCCGGGCGGTCCGGTTCCTGATTCTAAGGGGGGAATTGGACTCAACCGGACCGCCCATACCGATTGTTTTTTATTTATTTATTTATTTTAAATGTCTCACGCACGCTTCCTCTCCTCTTTCGATCTTTCCCTTTCGCCTCATGACGCTCACGCCTACTGTCTTTCCCTCTCCTCTCTCCTCGGCAAATCCTAATTGAAACCCTCGGATTGAAAAATTAAATTTATGTTACGCATGTACTTCGATTTGATCTTAAAGTTTCGCCTTTTCGAAAACTAAATTCTGAAATAGCTATTTTTACTTGGATATCACTTTGAAAGATATTTAGAAATCTTAAAGCCAGCTTCTCAAAACCTTCTCACACTCATCAATTTGACAAAAAGGGGAAACAAGAACCAAAGAATTAATCATTATATTGCAATCGAATCTTTATCTTCCTAGATTGCATTTGCAATAAACCCATAACGGACCGCTTAATAAAAAATTATAAGGATATTAAAAAGTTATAAAATAATTCCAATTTTAATATAGTAACCGTAGAATTATCCCATTCATTTCAAATTTTCCACGTGAATATTTTCATGGCAACGAGCACGTTCGAACCTTGCAGCGACCGACGAAGGTCGCCCGGAAGAAGGCGGGCCGTCGCCATCGTTTTGGTCCGGACACGTGGCGAACACCCACGACGACTTCGATGAAGAGAGAGGGAAAGTGTGCAGAAAAAACTCCGACTTTCATGGGCTCTCTCCGCCTTCTTTCCCCTGAAGCGCAGAGGCTTTGAGCGATGGCGCAGAGTGCACGGAAGACCAATCAAACACACCGCCTCACTCGAAAAACCGTATTAAAAAAAGGAAATTGATGTCTAAGAATAAAGTGGGAATTTCCAAATCTGTCTCTTCTTGGCTCTCATGCAACTTGATCGACGTGCTCCCAGCTTCACGTCAGGTTTTGGTTCCTTCCTGCGTTGTGCTGTTCGCATTCTTTATTTTCTTTTTGTCCCGGGTCGTCGAGTTCGCAATGTCAAGGTCGTGTCTTTCGCTCTTGTTGCCCGTTTAGCAATCTGCATTGTTGTGGTTGTTGCATGTTGATCATGGTGGTCCTGATGGGCTCCTGTGAGGGGGATCATAAAGAGTTAGATTAAACAGTATCTGGGTGATTATAGTTTTTCCCTTTTGGATCAATTCGGATGGGAAAAGAAGAAAAATCTGCTTTATGGAGGCGCATTACCAATTTCACCATCAATGTCCTTCTCCTCTGCTTTTAGGTCTTTCTTTCTGGTAGCGTTTTTTGTTAGCCGCGGCGATGAGACCTTTGGATGTTTTATCTTCTTTCCAGTTTCACTGCTGGTATAATTTGCAAAAAACCTGTTTTTTGTAATTGTTCTTGCAGTTTCTTGAACGGCCGGATTTGAAGTCTTTCGGAATCGGGCTTCATAGCGCAAGCTCAATATAGTGGAATATTGTCTCTTGGAGGTTGAGCATCCACTGGGGACATTCAAGCATCTGTCACCTGCAGGTCAGGCTTCTTTCACATGGTTTTTCATATGATAGGTTTCCAGTTTTTATGGATTGCACTCTTCGGTCGCGTCAAATTGGGCCTCCTAAGGTTCAAAATTAGCTAATGAGGAACTAAATAAGGAAGAACGGTATCGTTTTATGAGTTTGCCTTTTGCGGATGGAGGAAAAAGATCGGACTAGAGTGGACAGTTAAATAGACTGGATATTCACGTAGGGATCCTGAAGTCTATGCAAGAAGCATATTCTTGCTAAGGTTTTTGTTTCATGAATCGTGTGTAATTGATTTTTAGCATATCAACATCATATGGAATAGCAAACAAAATCAGCGGTCCTGTGGCTACTGTTCTTTCAGTTAAGAGGTCATGGGACGCTTGATAATGACTGTTATTCGCCCAGTTCGTTGTTGCTTCTTTGTCAAGTTACCTTTGTCATGCTGTTTCATGGCGCCTTCCTGTTCTTGGAGCTACTTAACCATAATTACTTAAGACAGATAGTGGAGCCATTTTCTCTGATTTGCTTGCTTCATGATGCCCCTAGTCTAAAAAGTGTTGCCTGCATTAGCTACATTGCATGGCTTGCTGATCTGTTTGTTGTTCACCATATGACACTAACATGGATGATTCATCTGTATCAATTACCAAACTATTCTGCTTCTGTTCCTTTTTTTCAACTTCACCCGAGCCATCATTTTTCCTTGTAAAGCCTTACAAAGATAGGGAAAGATGATTTATGGAATGTCTGTAAGGATGCAGTGAGAGGTGAAAGGGTGAGAACAGAGGCTAGTTTTTTTTGGCTGGTGATCTTAGAGCTTCCTGTCTCAAATGGTGATTAGAGTGTGCTTAGATCTTTCGGATGGAAATCAAGCTCTTCTTTGGGAATGCTTTTGCGAGTTCCTTTGAGTACATAATGCAATTCGTGCCAAATCAGCCCTACCTTCTTTTTCACCCTGTAGAACCGCACTCTAGCAAATTTCATGTTCCAGAGAACCTTTCATTGCATATGATCATATTAGGCAATGGTTGACATCAACTTTTCTCTTATATTAGGCACCAAGAGCTTTGCAGTTAGCTTGATTTTTCTCCTAAAGTTGACTTCTTCTCTATGTTGGCAACAGGAATTAGCAGTCAGACACTGAATTTGATGATTTAGTAATGGAACCTTTAGCAGCAAAGTCCATGAAAGAGAATGGGAAACCCGACAGATCCTATCAGACTGTGAACAATGACAATGTTCCCACCGAGAATAACAACAGTGAGGTCGAAGGTAATAAAATCTAATTTCCCTATCCATGTCTACTGTCATCTCTTTTTCTCACTAGCCTGTAATGTTATCTCCCTCCAGCAAAACAAAGAGTGCTCCTCATTGAATGGTTGAGCAGCATGTGTCCTGATTTAACCTTACCTCTACAAGCATCGGACGAGGAGTTGAGATCAAGCTTGCTTGACGGGTCCACCCTGTGTCAGATCTTGAAAAGGTTGAGACCTAGTCACATCAACGAGGTAAATGAGATGTCTTGTTTTTTTTTTAAAGATACTACAGTTGGAGGATGAGGTTTTTTTTTTAAACATGCTTAGATTTATAGGGAGGTTATTTCGATCACTCTTCAGCCCTTCATAGAGATCAGATCAAAAGGTTCCTTGCCGCAATGGATGAGATGGGGATTCCCAGGTTTGAGATCGCAGACCTAGAGGAGGTATCACCTTTTGTATGCATTTTCATACATTATGCACGTATAAGAACTTTCCGACTGTCTATCTTTTGAACTGCATAAGTCTACAAAGGGCAAAATAAAAAGGAGAAATATCTAGCTTGTCAATTCATAAAAGAGGGGACTGATCCTTTTAATACCGATACGAATGACCTTGTTATGCATGTAGTTTCTAGGGTCACACAAAGATTGATATATGCCATTTGAAGAAATTCTCTGCCAAATGCCTACTAGTCAAATCTTTGGCAACCCTTCATTTGATGCTTTCACAAACTTCTTCAGTTATTTCTTTTTCCACTATAATGTTCTCATTTTGAATTTTCTAATAATGAAGGGATCTATGAAGCCCGTAATAGAGTGCCTTTTGTCGATGAAAGCTCAGCTCATGCCAAATGGTAATGCAGGTACTTTCCACAATATTTGTTCAGCTTAATCTGTATCTTGAAAATGGTTGATGTTCTCCTAGCTAATTTGACAAGATGATCTTCTCACGTTTTATGACAAGAGAGGTGCAAAGTTTTGACAGAATCAAAATTCCAACGTGCTTTGCGAAGTCCTGTCATGTCAGGTCTCTCTCTCTTCTCTCTCTCTCTCTCTCTCTCTCTCTCTCTCTCTCTCTCTCTCTCTCTCTCTCTCTCAGTCTTACAGGAAGTTCTATCTTTCATTTGCACACCTTTCGTTGAAGCATGGAATATTTTATTTTACTTTCATTACAGAGCCATCAGCTACGCTAATGCATCATGTTGGGCTTAAGTTCCATGAGGTATTTCAACTGAGGCAAGGTCGATATGCGGACCTTCCGGCAGCAAAGATCTCGGAGATGATGAAGTCAAATAGTTTGGACGTAAGCTTTTGTGTTTTGATTTATGAAGATATTTCATGAGCTTATCTTAAATTGCTCTGAAAATTATTAACCTAATTTGCCATTAATCCTTCCTGCAGAATGCCCCCACCCAATCACTTTTAAGTGTGGTTAATGGAATTCTCGATGAAAGCATCGAAAGGAAAAACGGCGAAATACCTCATGTATGCTGAACAATTTGCAATCAAAGTGGACATGTTCATACACGAAGGTTTATATTTACAATGAACTGTTACTTACAATTTTTAGTGCTTTTCTTACTCAGCGCGTCGCATGCCTCTTGAGAAAAGTTGTGCAGGAGATAGAGCGGCGTATATCAACTCAGGCAGAACATTTAAGAACTGTAAGATGCATCTATTCTTAGCATTCTATTGATTATATTAGATGATTGCTTAATAAATGTGCCGTGCATTCAGCAAAATAATCTCTTCAAGGCTCGTGAGGAGAAGTATCAATCTAGGATTAAGGTACTTGAAGCCCTGGCAACTGGACCTTGTGAGGAGACAGAGGTCAGTGAAATGATCAACTTGGTGCAAATAGGTCATATTCAGTTTTATAGTTACGTCAGATATGGAATTCATAGTGTACTTTTGATTATGCACAGATTTCTATGGATCGGCTTCAGCGACTTCAGGTGAAGTGCCAGTTTTTTATTATGTGTGCATATTTTCTGTCAGAATAATGAATCCATGAGAACGTCTTGAGGACACTTGTGATGTGGTTCAGTGGTGCTCTCATCATGCAGACCGAGAAGATCAAAATGGAAGAGAAGATCGAAGAGAAGAGGAAGCTTGAAGAGGAGGACTTAGCTAGATTGACTAAAGAGAAGGAAAGTCATAACTTGGTAATTTCGGCACTGAAGCAAGAGCTGGAAGTGGCAAAGAAGACATATGAGCTCCGTCACTTGCAAATGGAAACAGAATCCAAGGCAGCTGAAATGGCACTCGAAGAGAGGACAAGAAAACTTGAGCAGGACTTGGCAGGATACAGAAATAAGGTTCAGGAGCTGGAAGCGGCAAAGAAGACATACCAGCTTCGTCACTTGCAAATTGAGACAGAAGCTAACGCGGCTAAAATGATGCTTGAAGAGAGGATAAGGAAACTCGAGCAGGACTTGGCAGGCTCAAAAAATAAGGTGAAACAACTTGAGGCGTACTCAGAATCCAAAAACCAGAAGTGGAACAAGAAAGAGCACAGCTTCCATAGATTTATGGATTTTCAATTTGGGGCTCTATGTGTAAGCTGCATCTTCTCTGTCTCTGGAATTGATTTCATGCTGTTGTGCATACACACGTGCCTCTAAATGACTAAAGCTTCCAGGAACTAAGGGATTCTTTCAAGTCCATCAAGCATGAACTTCTGGTCACCCAAAGAAGCTATTCAGAGGAATTCAACAGCGTTGGTTGGTTTACCAGAATTTTTCTTTCCGTCAATGCAAAGTTTTTAAATTTATGGAACGATTTCAAAAGTCCGCTCAATTTTTCGACAGGACAACAGGTTGAAGCATTAGCTAACGCAGCAGAGAACTACCACCAAGTTCTTGCAGAAAATAGGAGGCTATTTAATGAGGTTCAAGATCTAAAAGGTGCGTGAACTTCGACTCGCACTTCCAATACGTGTGGCATTTGTGAGGGTCGCAGCTTTTGATTTTTGTAGCTTGTGTATTGCACAGGTAATATCAGAGTGTATTGTAGGATTAGGCCCCCACTTCCTGGACAGAGTGGAAAACAGTCGATTGTTGAACGTACTGGTGATGATGGACAGTTGGTTGTTGCTAATCCCTCCAAACAGGGCAAAGATGGCCATCGCATGTTCAAGTTCAATAAGGCGTATGGTCCGGCTGCTTCTCAAGGTTTCTCTCTATACGTTTCTAATCACATGCATTTAAATAGTCTCTGGGTATATACGTGTCGCAATTAGTCATGTATGACTCGTAGATTTTTGTTTCTCTTAAGCTTATTTTATCTAAGTTTCTGATTTTGTGATTATTTTAATTAAGAATGTCTTGCTTCTTGCTTGATTGTTGGCAGAGATGGTATATTCCGACATCCAACCCTACATTCGTTCTGTTCTTGATGGATATAATGTGTGCATATTTGCTTACGGCCAGACTGGTTCGGGAAAAACTTACACGATGGTACAAGTCCTCTCTGCATTTGTATTTAGCTTGATAAATGGTTTGTTATCCTTACAAACTTAGTCATTGTTATGCGATGGCCATGCCAGAGCGGTCCTAGTGCAGCAACTAAGGAGAGCTGGGGTGTTAACTATCGAGCTCTCAATGACCTTTTCATTATCACTGAGAGCAGAAGAAGAGCCATCGTGTATGAAATCTTGGTTCAAATGGTTGAGATCTACAATGAACAAGTGCGCGATCTACTATCCAGCAGCGGCTCTCAGAAGAAATATCCTTTTGCAGCATTATAATTACTTACAGTTAAATCAAATATGATAAGATTCATTCGTTTTCACCGCGGAAGTTCCAAACTTAAATAGGAAGAATTGATTCCATGCTCTGCTACTTGGTTTTCATTAACATGCTTACACTAGGGATTTCATCAATCCCTCAAGCAAATGGTCTAGCTGTTCCAGATGCTAGCATGCATCCTGTCACAGCGAGCTCAGATGTTATGGAACTAATGGACATAGGGCTTAAGAATAGAGCCGTCGGCGCCACCGCATTGAATGAAAGAAGTAGCCGCTCGCACAGGTTCTTGATCTGATATTCTGTTTGTCTCTTGATGTTCTAAACCCTAATGCATCTCTGTGGTTCTGAGCTGTAATTTTCTCTGAAATTTCGTGGTGACAGTATTGTGACTGTGCATGTTCGTGGAACGGATGTGAAGACTGGAAGTATGTCACATGGTAATCTTCACTTGGTAGATCTAGCGGGAAGCGAAAGAGTCGACCGCTCAGAAGTAACTGGTGACAGACTAAAAGAGGCACAGCATATAAACAAGTCGCTCTCCGCCCTCGGAGACGTCATTTTCGCTCTTTCGCAGAAGAGCCCTCACGTGCCTTACCGTAATAGCAAGCTCACTCAAGTCCTACAGAGTTCTTTGGGTAATCCTCCTAAAAGTGCCTTGAAGCTGCTTATCTTTTCTCTATAAGATTGCAGAATAGTCCAAGTACTTGAGAGTGGAAAATTGACAGGAACCTCGAACGTGTGATTTCCAATTCTCGATGTAGGTGGTCAAGCAAAAACACTGATGTTCGTGCAGCTCAATCCCGATGTGGTATCGTATTCAGAAAGTATGAGTACCTTAAAATTTGCCGAGAGAGTCTCTGGGGTTGAGCTCGGGGCAGCGAGGAGCAGTAAAGACGGCAGGGATGTTCGGGAGCTGATGCAGCAGGTAATATCTCTCTCGCATTGCAATTCCTTGGCAATAATCCATGGACACAAGCAATGTAAATTTTGTAGTCTTGTACTTAATTATGTGCTTCATATGAAGGTGGCATCTCTAAGAGACACCATCGCCAAGAAAGACGAGGAGATTGAGCGGTTGCAGTTGCTTAAGGATCTCAAAAACGTGTATCCCGCAGTAGATAAGCGTGGCATGGCCTCACCATACGATCCTTCCTCTCCAAGCCAAATTCCCTCCAAAGGTGTAGGACTTAATGATCCTGAGAATGCTTCGGTGTCCAGCGATAAACATTATGAATCCGATTCGACTGTTCCTGGGGATGAGAGGTACGGGGACGAAGACTATGAGGAGAGAACAAGTGATGTTTCTGATTACTCTGCTGAAAATAGTTTGTCGTCTGACGCGACTGAACGGCCCGATAGCTTAGAGAAGTAACTCTCTCTCTCTCTCGCTCTCCTCCCTTGCTCTCCTCTAACACAAGGAAAAAAAACCAGAAGATGTAATGTCAGAATAATCTTAACTTTGTCATCATCAGAAAATTTGCTTCCTGTAGTTTCATGTAGAAGCATTCGAGATTCAGTTCGAATCGATGTGTCATTCCACTAACCTGCTCTCTTTTTATCAGGCCGAAGTCTGGACTTAAAGGTCCTCCGCCCTTGCGAAAGTTGGCCTCTCGGGAATCATTGAAGGCTTCAACAAGTAAAACTCCCATCTCTTAGACATGTTGTGCTCTCTTTGAAACCGAACATTGATTGAACGTGTCTCAGGTGCCAGGAAAACCGTGACCACTCCTACCGGATCCTCTACTTTACTCAAACCGCCCCGACGGTGGCAGTGAAACAAGAAGTCGGGTTCGAATGCTGCCACTGTTTTCCAGACCCGCTCTACCGGTCTGTGAATATAACCCAGTCACTTTACTCGGCCACAGCTCTTCTGTTAATGCATTCATATTTCCTTTTCTGCTCATTCCAGTTCGAGCTCAGATAGATAACATCATGTAAATAGGCGTTAGACATTCTACCTTTCTTTTTCTTTTTCTCTTTTCTCTTTTTGCTTATCTGAGAGATTGTAAAATCAATTTTGTTGCTCACTCGTCGATGCAGCTACCAGATACCAATTGTAAATTAGGCACCATCTCAATCGTTCATGTCATCGATGTAGATTTTGACATAAATTTGGTTAATTTTTTTGTTAATTTTCTTTTTTACTTTTCATATAAGAATATTTAAGAGTGAAAAGATACGTTTTTTTGATAATTGACTTCCACATTAGGTATAACTTTTTTTTGAGCACTCATTAGATATATCTTAAAGTGGTGAAAAATACACATGAATTCATTGTGTCACAATCATTTATGAAGTCTTGATGCTGCGATATGTATCGTCTTACCCAATTAAGAAAACTATTGATTGGAAGGCTCATAGCGAAATGAATTTCAATAATGGGTCCATTTGAGCTTATGTGCAAACTAGCCCAACAAGCGTGGACGATATTGAGAGGCAAAGAAAATATTGAAAGCTATGGTAAAATTGGTAGGACATCCACTGAAATTTCAAGTATACAAAATATAGTCAAATTACATAGCTACCATCTTTGACATAAAGTAAGACTGCTCCAGCACTTGGTAAATGAATCTCCTTTTTATTAGTCAGTGAATCCTAGCTAGTGGGACACCTCATGATGACCCAACTCCAGGATTTTCTTTTTCTTTTTGCACTTTTTTCCATGACTCATGAAATGTCAGCCTATCTATAGCCATCTTTATTGTTGATTTATAGCCTTTTATTTTCCATTTCCCCAAATCAAGTGGGGTCTTCCTGCAATCCACACAGCTTTGATTTGTCTCCTTTTTTTTTAAGCTTCCCATGTGATGGCCCCCCAACACTTTCTATTCAATTCCCCACTCCAAATCTTGCAGCTTTGCTTGTACATCTCCTCTTTGCTTTCTAGTTCACCCTCCAAAAGATAAAATTCCCATGTGGATAATACCCTAATTTGAAAAGCTAAAGCCACCCTTGTCTCTATCTTCATGTTCCTTGCTTTGCCTTTGGTCTTTCATTTTCGATATTCATAAGATACCATCACCAAATCAGCTTTAATCACACTTCCCTTCAAAGCTTCCACATCTCCAGAATTCCTTGTCACCCACGTGTAATCACTTTGATTTTGCAGGTCCCACACCAATTGCGATCTACTCTTTATATCTTTTTCGTTTCTTTTCCTTACTTTGCAAGTATTTACAAAAGGGTGTCTAGGGATATTCATTTTCATGCACACTCATGCATCCTCACCACCCAGTCATCAAAGCAAAATATGTGTTAGAAAAATTAATGGTGGGGTCAATGTGCTGGGAAGAAAAGTGGTGAGGAATCTCTTTGCAGCTTCCCTTGCCAAACCCTAACTTTGCTCATCTTCTCTTCACACCAATGAAGCTGCTCTTCACCCAGGTCACTCGTCCTCAAAACCCTAGACACCACCTTCAGGTCTATCAGGCCCATCAGTATCTCCATCTCCTCATCCACGTTGAGCTTCCTCTTCCTTATGCATTTCCGCGTCCGGCGAAGATCTTTGAGCTTCATCTTCTTCTGCTCAATTCATTACATAACGTCAAGAAGCAAAAAGAGATGGATGACCCTTGATCATGAATAAACTATATATGAATAGGAAAGAGATAAGATAACATTATTAATATGTGTTAATGCCAAATCACCAATGAAAGACCTAGAGTAGAGACTTACTTTGTTATTGACTTTCTTCATGAGGGTAAGAAGTGCAGGATCAACGGAGCTTCTTTTGTGCCTCTTGAAGAAGGCTGCTATTACCTGGCAGGGTCTTGCCTGATCGGCCTTGAGAAAATTCATGAACGTTTGGATACAGTCTTCCATTATCATGAGGAATGCCGCCGACGAAATCCTTGACTGGAAACCCTCCTCCTTAATTTGATCATCTTCAGAATCTTTCATAAGATAAGCCAAGAACAAACAAAAAGAGATGCTTCATTTTTCTTGAAAACATAGCAACACATATATTATGGTGTTTCATGCTTCACTGAATATGCGAGGACTTCACTATACAAAAATGAAAAACAATGAAGTAGAGAGTGTTTGTTCTGTTTTGAACTATTACCTCGGTATTCTGGCACTTGAAGAAGTTTTGGTGCCAAAAGCCTCATCCGAGCATAGACTTCGGGTCGCCGGCCTTGCTCGTAAGGCTCGTTCTCTATGTACCGTTGCAAGAGAACTTGGAATTGCTGAAATTGTTGCGCAATATGAGCAGGACATCCAAAATCAAAGTCCCGGCAAGCGGCCCGCTTGCTCTGGAAGTTCTTGTAGTTCCAATTTAGAGCTTCCCATGTCAAGCAAATCTGAGCCACATACGCTGCCTCCAGTTCTCGATATGGGTTGTGACGGACATCCGGCGGCTTCTTGTTCATGGTTGCAATTTTATGGACAATCCTCTCTGATATCGATCTAGGACACGCTTTGATTGATCTCAATGACTCTGAAAAAAATTAATTTGACTAAGCTTTTCTAAGAGGTGATCATCTTATTGTACAAGGTAGATTGTTTAAGTACTAAATAATTTGAGATTACCAGTTTCATGTAGCTTTTGCGCAGTGATTCTGTCTAGGAACATCATCTCTTCATCGTATTTCTGAAAGACGGTGTAGGATTCCCATTTCGGACAACTTCGCCGCGACGAGGAAGAGAACGGGTCTTCAGTCCCCGAATCTCTGCAGTTTATGGAGCTCCTCCATTCAGAGGAGCTCTTCGAAGTAGACCCGATGGTGCATGAGTCGCCGAAGATCTCCTCATCCTTGTCCTTGTCCATTATGAGTTGAGACTTCTTGTTCTCCAATATCAACTGTGGTTGCCCAAAAGCGCTCAGGCTCCCATTATTTCCTGAGAAATGATCAGTCCTCTCTTCCTTCTTCCAATGTTCTTGGTCGTAGCAATCTTGTGCACAACATCAGTAAAGTTAAATAATCAGAACCAGCACAAGATCATTATTACACAAATATCGAGATAGACATGATTCTAACATTGTACCTTTGTGTTTTCCAACATCATGTGCCATGTCATTCTTGCACCGGTCCGCGTCTGTTCGTGACATCAGTCCAACGTCGTCAGTTGGACCTGAATCCTGAATAGAATCGGAGGTCGGAAGCTCCTCTTCAACACCATCTTCCTCCACTTCACTTTCCCAATCATGATGGCCAAGGGATGAGTCCTGAGCAGAGACCAGCTCATTGGTGGTGTTGCAATCTTCAGTCTCTTCACGAACTAAATGCTCCTCGGGATCAATCTCTTCTTCTCCTCCTCCACCTCCTCCTCCTCCTCCTCCTCCTCCTTCTTCCATGAGAAGAGTCTGATGTCTTTTTGGGCTATTGACGCTATTATGGTAGAATAGCAGAGCCTCTCCACCATGAATAATGTCAGCCACCAAGTCATTTTCCCTGGTGCCCACTTGGTAATACCTGCTCTGCTCATAGGGTTCTTGAATCTCTTCTTCTTCTTCTTCTTCATCTTCTTCTTCTTCTTCAACATCCTCCTCGGAGAAGCAATCCTCATGCTCCGCTTGATTCCTGCAAAACATAGAATCAAGCACAGAGCATTAGCAAACGTCATAAAGTTTTAACACAATCAAGAAAAATTCGACATCGAGGTAGATTTTTATGCGGTACCGTTGAAACAAGGATATGTTTGCAAACAAGTGGTAAAGCTTGGAGAGCAAAGTTGAAGAGACGAGGTAGAAGAGGAAGAGGAGCTGGAAGGAGCTGGAGATGTTATAGAAGAGCGCCTGAAGAGCTTCTTCTTTGGAACATGGCATTTTCTTTCTTGATGATCTCTTAATCTCTCCAATGAGTGTGAGTCTCCTCCAGCATAAAAAGACACAAAGCACTCCTAGATGAGAAATAAAGAAAAGGAAAAGCACTAACTTTGGTTTGGTTTGGTTTGCTTTGCTCATGGTCCATGAAATTCTTTTTTGTGTGCCTAATTTACCCCTCTTTCTTTTCCCATGTCATGTGGCAGTGATTAGAATTGTACGGCAAGGGCGATTTCGTCACCGAAACGGTCTATTACACCCAAATAGTTTCGTTTTTGAAGTACCCATGTGGATTTCGACTCACGCCTTATCTGATTTGTAACGTTAGTGGGTAGTTCATGAACCCATAATTTTTCTACCAAGATAAAAAGAGATAATTTCTTGTTACCCAAAGTGTAAGTACCGCATATATCATGTCCTAATGCTTTATAGATGTTTGGAAGCTTTAGATAAGCCTTAATTCCCTAAAAATCGATCCCTCCATTTTAGGTCTAATTACAATTTTGCTCCGAACTTTTTTTTTTGTCTAAAAAAAATCACAAACTTTCACGTTGGTCCCAAATCTACCTCCGGTCCAAAATTTGTCACTATTTTTTAAAAAAAATTATCAACATTGGGGCTAGTTAGAGATTCATTATCAGAATCTGTGTTTTCATCAACACTCTTACATTTTTATGGAACAACAACGGTCTTCTAATGTAGATAATTTTGAAGAAACTAGTGATGCTTTTTTAACATGGGGTAGATTTGAAATTATAGTGTAAGTTGAATATTTTTTTAGACAAAAAATATGACATAATTGATATTTAACTTAAAGTTTGAGGTTCCCAAGGAAATTGACCTGCCAGATAAATCATGGAATTGTTCTAGAGAAGCATCTAATAATTCTGCATGGTTAGGTGCATGTTTAGATTAGACCCAAGAAAAAATTGCAGATTTTTCTTTACCATATAGAAGTGGAGAACATAAATAAATACATGTTTGGCTCCAAAATGGAAGTGAAAAAGATGTGTTGATGTTTTGATTGGTGTAGTGAGATACGACCCAAGTAGACTTACTGGTCAACTTTGATGAACTAAGAAGAAATTTCCACGTAATGCTCTTTGCATTAAAGTGACAAAAACTCTTCACTTATAATAACAAAAACAAGAGCGACAAAAACCCTTTGTTTTTCTTTTTCTTTTCCTTCTTTTGAGAAATGCATGTAAAAACAAAAGTTCAAAAGCAGAGACCAAAACCTAGCTTCACGCATCCAAAGTGTTGCTTCAACTTTTGCAAAAGAATTATCACTAGAAATATTTAAATAATCCGAAAAAGGTTTAAAAATTTGAATTAAATATAGAATCTAGAAAGAGTTAAGAGAATGTATTGGGCCTGTTCTCTAGAGTCGGCTTGGTCGAGAGGCTTCGGAGTATTCTTTGCCTCCCAAATGCATAAAGAGGCCTTTTGGAAAAGTTGGATATGTTGCTGTTCAAACGATCTGATTTAGATTTCTCTCTTTCAATTCAGCCCTCTCTTCTCCCTCTTAATTAACTTGTTAATTAAGGTTTCTTAGCAGCCGCTTTCTAGTCGATTAGTGTAGACGCGCCCTTTTTCACTTTGTCCATGACGAACTTAGGGACGAGTAATCAAATGTCGCATTAAAAAAGCAGTGCCCCTTTTTTCTTCTTTGCGGAAATACGACACACGGCTTGAAAAAAGCTCGAATTATGCATTGAATAGCGCAATCGACTGGAAAAAAGAGGCTAGGTTATCTGATGATGGGTATGGACGAGATCATATGATCTAGAGGCTAATCAAGTTGTCAATGTTGGCTTGTCACTGTCTTTCTTGCATGTATCATATGGAAAGTCCTCGTCAATAAAAAGAAGAAAAAAAGAGAACATGGGAAGTTTTCTTTTGCAATGTTGCTAATTAATAAGCATATTTTGATTTCTTTTCTTGCCAAAAGTAAAGTATACACTACACAGAACGATATATGTACTCGTTCATGTGTTGAAACTAGAAGAATTGGGTTAATCCATTATAGTTTCTCCAAATGAAAATTCGTATTTGATTATTATATTGAGCTGGGGTAGAAGCTCTGTATACTTTCCCCGGTTCCTTTGCTACCGCGGGCTTTACGTAATTGATCAGATCATATAGATATCCCTTCAACACAACATAGGTAATCAAAAGGATCTCGGAGACCCACCAAAGCACGAAAGCTAGGGTCTTTTAGAAAATGGATTCGTATTTGAAGAGTACATAACTGCATGGATAAACTCACACTAACTTGTCAATTTGGAATCCAATTCAGGAATTTCCTTGGGAGGTAACTTATTGAGTTTTGAGCAACTCCATCTCTTAAATAATTACTTGATGAGGATCTCGTTTTCCACTGACACTCTTAAATGTGTACCTTAACAGTAAAGTCTCATGAAGATGTCGATTAGAGTCTTTAACATTTGGTAACGAGAGGATAACAAGAAATAATCAGTAGGTGTGTGTAAGAAAGGAATAAGTACAGTGATATTCACATAAACATGTTTTTTCCTACCACATAATCTGTTAGGCTGCGTTTGATCGTCTGGATTTCTAGTCAGGAGAGGATTGAATAGGATATGATATGAAATCCAAGGGATGTGCTATAACCTATCTACTGTTTGGTGAATCGTAGTAATAAAGCCGGATATTTTTACATATTACCATGTCTATTATTTATTATGAATGTCATATCAGTGTAAATGAGCCTAAAAATTACACAATCTGACACGATAAAAATTTCTCACCACACTCTTACCTACTTTATTTTTATTTGCTCATTTTTTAAAATTATTTTTCCCTCTTTTTTATAATTCTTTTCTTTGTTTTTTCTTTTTTCCCATTCCATCATTCTCTAATAAAATTTTATTAAATGGTAAACTATACTAATATAACTAAAATATGTAGTAAATATAAATACTAAAGATACAAATTTTTTTTAATAAATAAATAAAAATAAGAATAAATAAAAACGAAATTGTTGTTATTTTTTTGTTATTTTGAATTTTTATATTAAAATTCAAATATTATTGATATTCGTATATTATTTTAATTTTATTAGTTTAACAAGTTTATTATTCAAGAAAAATAACTTTTATGTGAATATTAGAAATCCTATCCACCTTTACCTCACCTCTCCCATGGATAATTTTATCAGGGCCATATTCTTTCTATATCCGACTTTATCCTGCCTTGGGCAGGCACCAAACATGGGATGGGATAAAATTTATCCTATCCTGAATTTTATCTCGACTACCAAATATAGCCTTAACAGACATTGGTGGTCAAGACTTATACCATTGATTTCGACAAATCCTAGGATCATGCTATGTTGTAAGCTGCACAAAGAGGAGGAAGACACCATCGTGGGACAAGATAACGCACATGATGTTTTCGAATCTTCCCTTTGGAACGCATTGGTGGTCACGATCGTGGATACATGAAAGATTGGGATATCAAGATAATAACCTAAGTTGACCCTATTGGGTCGAAATATATTGCAAGATGGAGATACTTCAGGCCCGGCCTAACATTGAGAGTTGCCTAAAAAAAGAAAAGGATATTGAATATTTTAATAGGGGAAATCTAGGAGCAAGAGGGTGCTCGAGTTCAGGATAAAATTTAATTTTAAATTTCTTTATGATTATTTTATGAAGGGTGATTTTGGAATGGAAAGAGGAGAGTCAACCAACAAGACTTTTGACTTAACCTAGATATTTTGATTAAAGTAATTCTAATGAGCAGCTAATTCATCCTCGTGCGATTATTCATCCTGGTGCGATTAGAACTTTGCACAAAATCACAAACTAGCTAGCATGAATGTAGTATGGAATATGAATATCACCTAGCATTATTCATGAACACTCGAGTAAATCCTTGTGGATATATGTCCGAACACGAAAGAGTGTCTCTCTCTTGTCAATAGATGCAAACCCCTTTCTTTCCATAGGGTAAATATAAGATTATGATCATTTTTTGTGACTAGTTTTTATGCATCATCGATCCATTGGAATCAATATTGACTGAGTCGTCACCAACCTAAGGTAATAATTGGTTTCTGATATTCGAATATCATCTAATGACCGTGATGATATCTATTCGGTGGACCCCGTATGTGAGAGTGAGAGAGAGAGAGAGAGAGAGAGAGAGAGAGAGAGAGAGAGAGAGAGAGAGAGAGAGAGAGAGAGAGAGAGAGGATATTTCTAGAAGGCCTTGGTTTGGAACTGGTAAACGTGAGGCTCGGTACATAAAAAAATCCATGGTAGGCTTGAAACTTTGAGGAGGGTTTTGAAGACGAAAAGGAGTGATGTACTCACGAACACATCGCATGGACAAAAAATGGAGATCCAACGAAGAAGCTTCGGTTCTTGGCAGAGTCTTCTGGTTTGGTAACCACATTAACCACTCATTCAGAACTTCATTTGCCCTTTGTCCAACCCCACTCTCTTTCTCTTATTTATTTTATTCTGGTCATGTCTTTGAGAAGCCGGGACAAAATAGAAACATCTCGGACCATTCGACATCTATATTTATATATCTAAATCGTTAGATTGTGCCCTATGCTAGTGGCTATCTGTTCATCTCCCATAATTTCCAATCATATGTCATGGTGCATTCGAGTTAAGATTTGTCTATATGTGTCGGCAAATGCTTGTCTAGACCCAACTTAGAGTAATTAACGGGTATGTTTGCATCTAGTTCATGGACCATGGTCGATATATGCGTATCCCGTATATGCCACAGCGTAACTCTTATGGTGTGAAAATTCATTAGAAAAAGATTACAACTCTTTATGAAGCAAGATCGTTTCCATGATTTAGCAAACAACGCTCGGCTTTTTTCTTGTTATCAACACGATTCCACCCAGAAAATTCAAAAACATAATGCCCCTCTTTCATGAGATTTAAGTTGGCATCCATGTTTTTCTTCACTCTTGATCAACTCATCAATATAAATTGGTATACAAATGCCTTTCTTCATCTTTTGGAGATGATCAAGGCAAGTTTGCGGGTTAATGCTTCATTGTGTCTTGTTTTATTCTCGTCTACAGCCGCCTAGACCTTTACATGGTTTCAGACAACATAGCAAGAGGATCACCATCTTCTTTAATTAATGTACATTATCTGCATGCGCAAGTGCACATACTAAAGATACAGCATCACTGAAAACAATAACTCACAAACACAACTAAGTACAAAAAACAATACAGCAGACAATTACATGAAATGATTGCTTAAATTCATCCAACTAGATTATGAGTGAATCGCGTATAAAGAAATAGCAAGACTCGCATTAAAACAAAAATTTCTCTGTACTCCCACGTTTTATTTATAATTCAATGAACCCCGTCATTTGCAAATGGTATTAGAGTATATACACACACAAATATATATGTATGTATATTTTAAGAGAGAGAGAGAGAGAGAGAGAGAGAGAGAGAGAGAGAGAGAGAGAGAGAGAGAGAGAGAGAGAGAGAGAGAGAGAGAGAGAGAGAGAGAGAGAGAGAGAGAGAGAGAGAGAGAGAGAGAGAGAGAGAGAGAGATTGGTTATGACGAATACAAATAACAAGTGTACATAGAATAAGACGGGGAATAGTAGGAAAGACATGTTCCCATTGGACATGCTTGAGGTATTCTTGGGGATGGGTGGGTAGAAATGGTTGGAGGTGGTTGGACATCTAAGATCACGCCCTAAAGAACAATAGCTATCAAGCTATCAATATCTTATCATATACATCAAATATTAAGGCCCAGATCTTTGGTGTAACTGAGACTCAACCCCGTGCACAAATGATTAATCCCTCGTTCACCGCCAAGAAAAACAAGAAAGGAAAAAGCTGACCATAAAATATTATACTCGCCAAAATTCAACTCTACTTGTTTGAATTTTGCTACTAACATCCACGACACGTGTTCTGTGGCTTATGACCTTCTCTCGTGCATTATCCAAAGAGCCCTTCTTCCTTCCTCTTGAGCTAATGAGCTCTCTTCCATACAGAGCATATCGGCTGGTCAAACCCAACGGGGCATTATCGTGAAATCCAGGGATCTGAGCACTTTCGTCACCTGCATGGACCATCATTGTCAACATGTTAGCTGTAATTGGCGCAATAGAATAAGACTAATGCAAAGATATGGGGGAGTCTCTGTGAAAGCTTCTTCTTGAAGGAGGATCGCGGTTTTGGGAACATATAGCGTGAGGATGAGGCTTTGTTATTTATAGGTATGAACCGTACTTGAGTCCTGGATTGCGCGCTTCGGGGCTTCGCGGAGGAAGAGGAAGACAAAAAAGTGTTGGGGCACATCATCTGTCTGAATCTGAAGCAACAGAAAGAAAAAAAATGGAGGAAAGCCTTCCTCCTGGATTCAGATTCCACCCGACTGATGAAGAGCTCATCACTTGTTATCTCACTCGCAAGGTCTCCGACACCGGGTTCGCGTCAAAAGCCATCGCCGACGTAGATCTCAACAAGTGCGAACCTTGGGATCTTCCAGGTAGATATACATGTGTATATATATCCCTGATATACTCCTCTTTATGCTTGTTTGTTGATGACTTTCTGATTTTGTTGTCCATGCATGACCTGTCGTTGCATGCTCTCTCCTTCTCGATTTGTTTCCATGTTTTCATTTCCTCAAATCTCGAGCTGATGATCTTGTCTCAATTAAGCCAATATAACTACTGTCTTATACCATAATTAGGTTACCCAGGTTCCTTTTGGGTACTTGTTCTTTGCCTTTTCTTTTCCTTTTTTTTTTTTTTACCTTTTTATAGAGAGATGGGGCTTCATTAAAGGAAGAAGAGTAGAGTTTATATAAGAAATCATCAAGATTTTGGAGATTTTACTGCTTTTTTTTTCAATACATAAGAAGGTAAGTTTTTATTTTTTGACATATTGGGACCTACAAATTCGACAGTTTTTTAATGACTGAAAAGTTTAGGGTTTTGATTCTTCTCGTGCAAGGGCTGTTGATTACCTCGTTTGCAATACGTGAGGAAGATTAAACGAATTTCTCAACAAACAATTTCATATTACCATCCTATTCAAAATAAAATATGTCCTTATCTTATAAGTTGAGAATAGATAATGCCATCATCTGCAATGTTGGTCTTTAATTGATGGTTGTCTTCCACATTTACTAACATTAAACTCTTTTTCAAGACTTCTCATCTTGAAGCAATGTAATAACTTTTTTCTGACAGGCATGAAGACTATAGTCAATTTTGGAGTTTGTTTTGGGGCTTCATATTTGTTTTGGGTTAAAGCGCGATTTAGATATACATGGGCTCTGTTTGTTTCGAGAAAAATAAATGATTTGAAAAATATTTTTCTAAAAACGATTACTTGTATCGCCTGAAATAATTTATAAATAAAAAATATTTTCGTTACCAATAACAATATATGTCTAAATATTTTTGTGGAAGACAAAAATGTTTTTCGTTCATTCATTTTATGTAAGCAATATAAGTGATCATTTTTAGGAAAATATTTTCCAAATCATTAATTTTCCATGAAACAAACGCACCATTTAGAGACATTAGGACAACAAGCGATATTATTTGTGTTTTGTGAGTGTTCAAAAACAAGATTAAGACGTGACTTGTCAACAAGTGCTTAAGAGACCCTCGTTAAGACCACTAAAGACAGAAAAGGCACTTATTAATACACCTTGATAATTGAACAAAAATATATTTCAACAAGTGCTTAAGAGACCCTCGTTAAGACCACTAAAGATAGAAAAGGCACTTATTAATACACCTTGATAATTGAACAAAAATATATTTCAAAAGAGTAGCATGCTTTAAATACAATTTTTTTTATATTTTTTAAGATCATTTAATAATCTTTAAGATGACGAATAGAAAGAATTGGTCAGAACTGGAGTTAAAAGTCTTCACCTAGCTTTTTGAGGCTATTGATATCTTCTTTGCAAATGATTTGTCATGTATTTGCAATCACAGGGCGAGATCTAAAAAAAAAAATTGATGAAATTTCCTCATCTAAGAATTTGCTATGGCCAGTTCCTTAGGGAAGAATTTAGAATCCTTATTTCATCAAGCAACATAACTAAAAGAAGTCATCGTGGGTTGTAGGCAAGGCATCAATGGGGGAGAAAGAATGGTATTTCTTCAGCTTGAGGGATCGAAAATACCCGACTGGACTCCGGACGAACCGAGCGACGGAAGCGGGGTATTGGAAGACCACGGGGAAGGACAAGGAGATATTCCGGGGAGGCATCTTGGTAGGGATGAAGAAAACCCTAGTCTTCTACAAGGGAAGAGCTCCGAGGGGTGAGAAGAGCAACTGGGTCATGCACGAGTATAGGCTAGAGAATAAGCATCCTTTTAAATCCACCAAGGTACATTTTACTCTCTTTTATATATTTACGATCATAAAATCTCGAAACTTCCTTTTGAACACTCTCGAAATGACTCGAAACTTATTGCATTACCCTGAGATCTATAAAATCTGAAAGATGGAACTCACGCGAACCACACTTATCAGTGAAGGGTGACTAGATATCGTATGTATCTCGTCTTGGCCTGTAGACTTATCTTAATGCTCTTTACTGTGCATTATAGCTCCTCATGAGTATACAGAGTATATTTTTCATTATGAGTTGCATTTCTTAATTTAACCTTTCTAAAACTATTAAAAGTTTGTGTGAAGTGCTTCAAAATCTATATGAAGAACTCAAGAGTCACACGCTAACAAAGGAATGAAGCGTAATAAATGTGTATCCATAGGCATACATTGAGTAAAGCTTTTCATGCAAGATTAGTTAACCTTAAAATCTGTCACATATAAACTATCACGTTTAAACTTTATGGTAGTCTGTAAAAAAAAACACTTTATGGTAGTCTGAAATAGTTTCAGAAAATTAATTCTTGATAACAATGGTAACCCTAAACAACTTCTTTGTAAACAGGAAGAATGGGTGGTATGTAGGGTGTTCCAGAAGACAGCCGTGAAGAAGCCACAGCCGGCGCTGTCCTCCGAGCAATCTCCAGACTCTCCTGGCGACACAAACTCGGCACTTCACGACCAGTACGGAGATATCGAGTTATCAAATAGTCTAACCGGCATGCCTAATAACACATCAAGTGGGTTCGCCAACATTAATTTAGCTCAAAACTATAGTAATCATAGTGATAGTACTGCCTATAACATGCAAAGCAATCCCCAAATGAACATGATGACCAACTGGCCTTCGTCGGCGAGAGAAGCGATCGCCGGCCTACCGTCCCTCCCGTGGCCCCCAACCTTGCTGAGCTCGAATTTAGCTGTGAATGCGTTCCTTCTCAAGGCACTTCAGGTGAGGAACAATGGCAACTACAGCCACCAGCCAAGAGATCAAGCAGCAACATTGTTAGGCACTTATGACTATTCTAACCATCTTCAGCCCCAGCAACAAGCACAAGGAGCATCTCATCATCATCATAATCTGTTCGGAATGAGCGATTTAACATCTTCGACGAGTTTCAATGCATCTTCGAGCTCGAAGGATTTGGAGTCATCAGTGCCGGATCATCAACAACAGCAGGAGCAACCCTTCAGTTGGACTCCATTGAGTGAAGGCATTTGAAACTTGTGAAAATAGCTAACTTCTTTTCAAAATTGAGTTACAGTCGTATCGAATGGTCCCAACTGTGTAATAGCTGAAAAAGCTTCGACCACCTTTTATTTGTCCAACGTTGATCATCGCTATCTAGGTTAATATGTATGTATAGCTCATGTTACGTAGTCTTTAAATTTCCGTGCTTCATCTTTTATGTCCAATGTAAACTCTCTCTCTCACAATATAAAATATGCATAGAGGAGATTTGGCTCGTCATGTTCTATCTGATATCGTGCAATATATATATATATATATATATATATATATATATATATATATATATATTTATTTATTTATCTCACATATAATATTTATGTAGTTCAATAAGTGTTAAGAGCACGAAGGATAACCATTTTGCTGGCATTGGACAAGTTTTTAAACAGAGATATACGTTTGATAACAAGACAAAATTTCTCCATTTTACGCTCTTTTCCATTCATCAACGGGTGGCGTTGGCCGGTGGCGGCGGCTGGCGGGGGGTGGGGGTGGCCGGCAGCGGGCAGTAGTTGCGTGCAGCGGAAGGCGAGGGCGAGCAATGAGAAGAGTTTTTATTTTTCTTCCAGAAAATTTTTACTTCTCATTTCTATTCCAAACCTATTTCTGGACTAAAAATTTGTTCCAGAAATAGAAAAATGAAATTATATTACCAAATGGATTTCTGTTCCAAACCTATCCTTGGGAACAGAAAATGGAAAAACAGAGAAACATAATTGTAATCATGTGTGCCTTGTCAAAAGCATGTTGGGAATAGTTAATTAGTCATGCGAATTTAAATTGGTAATCTCAAATGGTTGATGAGCTAGTAAACGCAGGATGATGCTAATCATGGCATATACAAATTGGTAACTCAATTGAAAAAGAAAAAAAAAGGACAATTGAATTTTGATAAGTAACTCAAATAAGGGTTAGTAACCAAAAGCTATATGACACGTGATTTAATATGATAAAATTTAGTAAATTACTATAACTTAGATTGGTAAAACCATAAAGTTAGTAAATACGAAACGTTGGTTAGTTATGCAAATAAAAATTGGTAAGTTAGCACAAAAATTGCTAATCTCCAAATTATTAGGAAATGTGGCTAGCGACCTGCCGAGGAAGAAGCAAAAGGAAAGAAAAGAAAAGAAAAGAAATAAACAGAATTAAAAATTTTGAATTTTTTGGTAATTTTCCCTAAAAAATAAATTACCAAACAACGGTAAATATATTCCAGTTAATTTTCAAGTTTTAGCCGAATACCGAAAAATATTGTCATTTTCTTGAAAAATAGTTTCCTGAAAAACATTTTCCAATAATGTCACATTTTTCGAGAAACGAACGGAACCTTTAAGGCATTTGTAAGAAAGATAAATAACAGGTGGTAAACGATAACAAGAGTTGATAAGTTAAAAAACAAAATAAACAATGGTAAGTATCTCAAAACGAGAGTTTGTAACCCAAAACTAGTTGATAATTTAAACAAAAGAATGTCGGCAAGTCACTAAAATAATGATTAGTAAATTCGTAAAGGAGTTAGATAAACATAACGCATTAGTAAGAGACACATAAAAGTCAATAAGAACTAAGAAAAGTTGATAATGTAAAGGGTTAGTACCACAAAAAAAACCCCAAACTGATACACTTATGACGAATTTAGCACAAACTAATTTTTTGATCATAAAAAACCCCAAACTGGTACACTTATGACAAATTTACCCTCTACTAGTTTCCGTTAAATTTTACTGTGAAATTGCTTCGTTAAATGACATGTTGCAGTTGACGGATGTACTGATTTTGGGTTTTACCCTCTGTTTGTCATAGATGTATCTGGTTGTGATTTTTTGTGGTATTAATTCAATTTAACAGAAACTAACGGAAGATAAATTCATCACATATGTACCGGTTTGGGGTTTTTTGCTGTCAAAAAATTAATTTGGAGTAAATTTGTCGCAGGTATACCAGTTTGGGGTTTTTGATTGTCAATAAATTAATTTAGGGTAAATTTGTCATTGGTGTAATAGCTTGGAGTTTTTCGTAGTATTAACCCTACTGTAAACTTGTTATAAGGAGTTTAGTAATTTCATGAAGGTGTTGCTAAGCTACTAATAAGTTACCGGGAAATTAGGTGATCCGTTATTTTTTCTTGTAGTCTTTTTAACACTTACCAACTGTTTCAGAAATGTAACAAAACATAAAAAAAATCATTTTTAGACTTGGAACAATAGAATTTCCTTGTAGAGAAAATACATATTTTTTACTTAAACGTGTGAATCCTTTAATATGTACTAGAACACAACTCTCTGCAGATTATGATTTAGCAAAGAATAGGAAAGACTATATATCCTTGGAATTCTAGGGCACTTGAATGCGAAACCATTTGACACGTTCATTAAACTGATGAGTTAATAAATTTCACAAATTCTCCCATACAAAGTTTTGTGAAACTGTTTGGACTGCCTTTTACATGAACTTAACATACGGTTCATGCATAAAGAAAAGGGTTATTACCATAAAAAATCCCAAACTGGTACATCTGTGACAATTTAACTCTCTGTTGATTTCCGTTAAATTTTACCGTCAAATTTTTTAGTTGGATGACACGTGGCAGTTGACGGGTGTACCGGTTTGGGTTTTACCATCCGTCTATCGCAGCTATACCAGTTTGGGATTTTTGGTGGTCCAAAAATTAGTTTGTGATAAAATTATCACAGGTATACCAGTTTGAGATTTTTTGTGAAAAAATTAATTTGAAGTAAATTTGTCCACATATGTACCGGTTTATGATTTTTTTGGTATTAACCCTAAAGAAAACTGAAACTGCCTTTATTTAATTCTTGAAAAACTTATTGTTGGAACACACATCATCATGCAGTGCACACGTGATCAAAATGAAAAGGAAAAATTCTACTCTCATCCCTATACTTTCTCACATTTTCTAAATAAATCTTTATACTTCCAATTAAGAACGAAGCAAATCCTTATACTTGCGCAAGTTGTCTACTCAAGTCCCTCCAACAATACATCCGACCAAATTCAGCTAATGTGGCCATTGCCAAGAAAGAAGTCAGGACATAGAGGTTAGATGGTATGGTGAAGCTTCTCCCAACCACCAACCAGACCGGCTCGAATTGCTGCTGCAGTGGCCGCTTAACAACTGCACCTAATTGCAAAGTGGGAGTCACGTAAAGTCGGATCACATGGTTCGGGTTCACGTGAATCCGATGTATCCGAACCCTCGATACCGGTGGGTCCCCGTGATTCAAGGTTCGGGATGCATTGGTCCCGCATGCGCCCCGACGCACTCAAAAACGTATCCAAGAACGAACCCGGCACGAAAGCTTTTGTGCTCACAACTGACCGAGGACAAAGATGTTCTCCGGTCTCGACCCATCAGTCCGGGCTGAGTGAACATGAAATGATAGCTCGACTCGGTATCGGATTTCACCGGAGAACACACGAATTTTTCACGTACAGCCTTTTACCCTGCGACCGGCTCATCTTATCACATGATTTATTTACGACTAATTCATCAATTTTCTTCTCTCTTTTTTAAATTAGATTTGTCATCACTCACGTGCGTGCACCTATTTTAGTAAGTGGTATGACGGAGTAATAATATATGCTTAGTATAGAATTTATTCCCATGTATTTAAATGAAAATCACGGTCCTACTTCTCACAAACTCAACAAGTTAATTAAATTTTTCGGCTGGAGCAACGTTCGATAATGCCAAAGATCATACATAAATCTAATAATATCGTAATTGATGCGACGGATTATAAGTAACCGTGGAATAAGCGAGTCATCTTCAATATTCAATCACGATTAATTAATCGTATTTTTCAATATACCGATGTCATAAAATAAAATATCATTAAGTTATTAATATCCAGCTGGATTTAGACGTCCACGTCAGCTCTGCCGTTACGCTCTGCGCCACGCGCTCATTCTCATAAGCCCCGCGCATTTCATTCGCGCTCGCATTCCTACTTCGAGTGAGACGAGAGAGAGATATGGCGACGACGGCGACGTCGCCGTCGACGGCGAGATTCGGAGGCGCCGGCGAAGAAGCGCAGAGGATTCTGGACGCGAACACGGACGGAGATGACGCGAGGCGGCGAGCTCGCGGAGCCTTCAGGGAAGTCCGACTCGGGCATCGACCGCTGCTTTGTTCGAGGTTAAGTTTCGTTTTTCGTCGCGTCCGACTCGGAGATGTACGTGGACGGACTGCCGGAGCGGTGACTCCGTTTCGTTCAGCCTACCGATCATGAGGGAGCTGATCGTAGAGGAACGTGCCGCGTTGGTTTGATTCTGCACCGACACTGCTTGCGTGCGTTTGCTTCTGCTAAAATTGAAATGGAGTGGATGAACAGAGCTCGTTGGTTAGGTGTTCAAGTTATGTCGCGCGAGAGATGGTTTTGGATCGTTGAGAACTCGCCGGAAGCGTGATGATTGGCGGAAAAAAACCAGGAGCATCGCGGTGGCTGTCGTCGCGGAAACGCGAATGCTGCGACTGCAACTGCGATCAGCTGAACTTCTTTGTTGTTGCTCCTATACGCAAGGATGGGCTATTCCCATTTGAGGATATTTAGACCTTGAATAAGATGGCAATACAAAGATCAATCTACAAAATTGATTTGTCGAATGAGGTGATATGTGGGTGCTTGACTATGACCATCTTGGTTGAATACTCGCTCACAATTTGTCAAATGCTAGGCTGTTCTTTTGAACATAGTCTTTGTATCTCTTGACATTGCACTTAGACATTAAATGGACGACTGCATTTTATAGTAATATGTTGCCTTACCAATTACATTTTCATGGTGTCATTTCAATTTCCGCTGTCATCTGAGGTGTGTATCGGCGGAGTCTTTAGACCTCAAGAACTGATCGTTGTTGGCCGTGGTCTCGAGGCTTATGAATGTTGAACAGAAAGGGTACATGACAAAGGAAAATTATAAAGCACTCAAAGTTATATATCGCACGGATTGACGGCTAAAATATAGTCTAATATGACATTCTTATTGGATTACCTTTCCTAATTGCTGTCTGAATGAAGTTTATAAAATTGCATGTGCAAGCTCTCATGCTGCTATCCGGTCGTTGGAATGATTTACATGTTTTCTTTCTTTTGGCTGCTATGTGTTCTGCAGTTGCCTCTTAAAGGACTGAAGACAGAGGAGTTATGGTTTATCTGCCTACACTTTCAAGGACTCAATATTTTGTTTTTCAGGATGAAACTGAGTATGTCAGTCAACCACATTTCACACTTAACACTTCCAGTATTTTTAAACAACATGGGCATCAAGCCCGCTGTTTAGTCATGATGTAATGTTTAATTCTGCAGAAATAGTTTCCTTATGATGATTGAATCGTGATGGAATAATGTGGCTAATGCTTTGGTACAGTCGTGCAAGGTAAATTCTAGAGGTATGGAGATCTTCTCCAAAAGTGGGATGCCAGAAAAATGAAACCTGTCTTCTGGAGGTTGTGATTTGTTACTGTCATGTTATGGGGATACCTGCACATTTTTCTTTGAAGGCAAATAATTTAGAATAGATTGGTATAATTTTCTGTTCATGTGTAATGCTAAGTAATAACACCATGCAGGAATTGCACGAAAATTTGCATCATCTGGTTATGGTGTCTTTGCGATGGATTACCCTGGATTTGGTCTCTCCAAAGGTCTTCATGGTTACAATTCAAGCTTTGACAGGCTAGTTGATGCTGTTATTGAGCATTACTCAATAGTTAGGGGTATGTGACATTGATTTATTGACCATCCATGTGCATGTCCAAGTTTTCTATTGTCTCCTTAATGTCAAGGCAGGCATACTTCCTAGTAATCAAAAGAGAAAAGTAGCCATAAAATGTAAGATGGACATCCTCATGTTATAGCTAATCAGTTTATTTTCAGAAAACAATCAAGGTCTACCGTGTTTCTTGCTCGGCCAGTCAATGGGGGGGAGCAGTTCCTCTCGAGGTGCGTTTGAAAACACCTGCGGCGTGGGACGGAGCCATTCTTTTTAGCACCTCTATGTAAAGTATCCTTCTTAATATGAAAGTCATTGGGGTACCACCTTCATGCCATCTGTATTTAATTGAACACACTTCAAATAGTTCGCAGGGGACATGCTACACCTTGGCTGGTAAAGCAGATACTGATTGGTGTTGCCAAGATTCTGCCAAAAGGGATACGGCAGAGGTGGGATTTAGAGACGCAAAGTAGAAAAAAAATTGGTAAGCAACTGAGTTATGCAAATACTTGTCTAGGTGGTGGGCAATTCTGTTTTATTTGATGCCAGCGTTCTGTCCTAAGCAGGCTCAATACTACATTCAGTGACTGTCAATTGGGTGCTAAACAATGGCAGTTTCTCTGAATTCGGGCACCATATAATGTTATAGCATACAAGGATAAACCTTGACTTGCGGCTGCACTAGAACTTCTCAAAATAACACAACAGATAGAACAACAGCCGGAGAAGGTATGAGGATTATTCCCTGGAAAAGCTCATTTTCTCTTTTGTCCTCTCTGCTGCACGTCCGCATGCTTTGCCAACAGAAGTATGGTGATAATCTCAATACACACTTTTTTACCCGTATTCCATGATAAGTTTCCTCTCTTTGTATAGAATTTTTCTTCTCCATTAGCCCATATTGTACGTTTCATTCGTTATTTCCAATGGACTATCCGGGTAAAAAAAAAAAAAGCGACTCGCTTTCTCCAAAGAAGATTAAACGCAGCCTATTCTGCTTTTGCAGCAAGTCTGAATTAAAGGAACATCTGTAATTGGATGACTCTGTACGATGAGTTAGGTGGTTTTCTTCGGTAGAAATCCACAGTTGCCATTGGGTCAGGTCGGGTCAGGTCAAGCATGACCCTGTATATTTCGGGTCGGGTCGGGTATCATGAAATCCCGATCCGACCCGACCCATTGACACCCCTGCATGTAAGGATATGCCATCACTCCCTTTAGTCAGATTGCTGTGAATGTCATGTCAAAGCCACTTTCTATGCTTGATTGAGTCCTGGCATCGTCGGAAAATCTCCATTCTCCAAGTAGAGGCATAGCACTGCAATGATCGTCAGATTGCCTTTGCCATTTAAATTTAGTTTTAGAAACCGACCTGCCGATGGATTCGACGCCCTGGAATTCGCTCATGGTGGAGTCATTGCATAAATTTTCTCCTCCTACTTGTGGCAGGTATCCCTGGCATTGCTGATCTCGCATGGGGAGGCCCATGGACCGACCCATCGGTGAGCTAGGTCTTGTACGAGAGGGCTCATGGTTCGGATAAGGAGATCCGTCCCTGCAATGACGCGTACCATTCTTTGCTAGAGGGCGAACCGGATGAGACCATCTCAAAAGTGCTTGATGATAACGTATCCTGGCTTGACAAGCATAGCTCCAAAAAGTTGTGATCTTACCTTTTGAGGAATCAATTAATTTAGGACGACGAGAAGGCCATGACATAGGTAAACAAAGAGAAAATATTGACGAGATACAATTGGTTAATCCCAATTCATTTGCGAAATTTACACTGATGTCTAGTCTCTCTTTCAACAGAACTCAAAGGAATCTATGCATCTCTCACCGAGCTAACTTGCACTGTTGACCTCGATAGAATTAAAAGGAATCTATGAATCAATGAAGGGAGATTATCGGAAAATTTCAGTCTCGGATAGACATAGAAAGGCAGCAACCAGCAATAGCCACGATGGGCTTTGCATGGAATCGACCGGTTCATAAGGTAAAACGCATGCCCTGTGATCAACACTTCCGAAGCTCTTCCGTGTAGCAGCAACATCACCCCCATTCGTTTAAGTTGGCACGTTGGCCCCGGGAAGTCCTTCCACCACCCTCAATGCGTGAGAGAAATGAGAGAGAGGGGATCCACTTACAAAGACGGTTCGGCCTGCAGAGAGAAAGAGCAAGTCAGATGCGTAACTTCATTTCAAACTTCAGTAGCAAAATTAGTGCTCGAGAAAAATAACAAAGGATAAAAGAAAGCTACAAAATTCTAGTAAGCCACCAACACTGGACATCTTCTCATGTTACCACATATTTCCTTCCGTTACAGAAGTACATGCAACATGCTTAATCGTCGAAAGTGAAAAGACTCACATCTCGTGAGATTTGTCTCGAATATGAATGAGCTCAAACATAAAAGTTTTGAACTTATTGAAGAAAACAAGGGCGATTCAAGAGGAAGCATTGTGTGTGCCTGTGTTACTGCATGTATGCATTGAATCGAACTCACCGAAGGTACAGAGGCAATGCCCCAAATGCCTCTCGAGTTCTCTCCTTCAGCAAAAATATGAAGTTCTTTTCAAAGGATCATCACATATCTACAGTAAGGTCAGAGTCTTTTCATCATCTTCCCAATCACTGCCTTCAACATCATCAGGACCAGACGTTGGATCATCATCTTCACTCTGGAATGAAAAATCAAATCAAAATTAACACCATCTGTAGCACTGACTCTGCACTGCATTACAGATCCAAATTTTCTCCCACATAAGAGAATCGAAGATTTTCGCTTCACATCTGAAACATGACCCAGAAATTTCAACCCCTAAAAATTTTGTATGGCCAAAAGAAAGTGTGTGTCGAATTGGCAAGCATTGCAAAGCTTAATACCTGTGTCAATTCTGATACTTCATCAAACAAGCCATCTCCTTTGGAACTCCAGGGATCTTCACTCTCTATCTCACAAGAGTCACCCTGCAGGAAACGTGAAGTGAACACCGTAAGGAGCCTACTTGCGCAAAGATTGATGAAAGCTCTCCAGAATAAGCGGCACTTACTACTTCCTTCTTCATCTGCTCAATCGTGTGCTCCAGCTCAGATATGTGTTGACTTAGAGCCTGTACATGACAAGTAAAGATACAGTAAACAAGAGGGAACATCCAAAAACATTAACGTCAATTTTGCTCGTATTGATGGCAGATGGGACATGTGAGGTGACCTCATGCCGTTGCATGGCAACAGAACGTTTCAATGCTTTCGCCTTCGTGAGAAGGTTCCTCGGCCTCAGGCTGATCGGCCGCCGGTAATTCTTTCCACGATAATATATAAGAGCATAGCCTTTGGGCACACTTTCTATTGATACTAATATTCCACCACTCTCAAACTCCAATAGCCTTGCCGTGTCTTCCACGAAAGCAAGAGTTTTTTGCTTTGTTATAAGCTTCACCAATTCTCTATGCTTCCAATGCAGATGCATATTCTCAATGACACCATCAAAAACACCACGAATACCTGGTAAATAATGAAAATATTAACGCCCTCAACTCAAGGCTAATATTATACCTTTAATTAATGAACGAATATATAAGTACCAAGAGGCAGGTACGGCTTCATTCTTAAACCAACTTTGCGAAACATAGTCCGTTCCTCGTCAGTGATGGTTTCCTGGTCATCATCAGGACTAACAGGAACCATAGATGCTTCTATTTTGGACAAGAGTCTCTCGGCCCTTAGTTTCTTTGCTTGGCCCTGTTCATCACAAGATGCAGAACCAATATTTAGTAAAAATGATGATGAGATGATCTGGGAGGCCAATTATAAAAACAACCAAAAGAAGATAAAAAGAATGCTTTTCCATTGCAGATAAATGCTACACAAAAGACAGAATCACTTGAGTATAAAATATATGTATCTTGTCATCGTCCAAACTGAGTGGGTGATCTACAACCAAAAAAAAAAAAAAATGAGTGGGTGATCTAAGAATCAGCCCAAAAAACGAGACGCATGCACCCAAAGAAGGAAGAAGGCTTTGTAAAAGCCTTACAAGAAGTTTCAACCAGCAGTAAGAAATAAGAATTTAAGAACATGAACACTAGATAAGATAATCCCATATTCTTCGAACAGAATTTCTCCGATAATTATTTTATTTCCTGTCTAAATGCTTTCTATATCTAGACAATTTCAAAGTTCTTATGTGTTGGTAGTCGAAAGTTATTTACTAAACCATTATTCACCAATTACTTCAGCTGTCTTGGCACTATGCTCTATGTAGCATCTGCGTCTAGTTCATCTCATCAAGCAAAAATATATCTTAAAAGGGGAAGAACAGCATTGGTGCCAAAAGTTGTGTACGGAGCTCACTTTGGTGCCAAAAGTTTCATTTGGATCATTTAAGTGCAAAAATTTTTGAAAAACAATCACTTAAGTGCCACTTCGCCGGAAATCCGACGTGGCATTTTTTTTATTAATTTCTCAAGCTAATGTGGCTCGCCGGGGGCTGATGTGGCATTTCTTTTCTTCTTTTTTTCCTTTTCTTTCTTTTCTTTTTTTCCTTTTCTTTCTTCTTATTTCCGATGGCCGGCGTCCGGCCACCGGCCATGGCCGGCCTCGCCGGGCGTCGCCTTCCTCCGGGCGAGGGCCGGCGAGGCCGCCGTGGCCTCGGCGAGGGCTTGCCTCGCCAGATCCGGCGAGGCCGGCCCTCGTCGAGGCCACGACTGCCTCGCCGAGGCGTCACCTTCCTTCGGGCGAGGCCACGGCGGCCTCGCCAGCCCTCGCCCGGAGGAAAGCGATGCCCGGCGAGGCCGGCCATGGCCGGTGGCTGGCCTCCGGCCACCGGCCATGGTAGAAGAAATTGAAAAGAAAAAAGAAAAGAGAAAAGAAAGAAAAAAAATCAGAAAAAAATATTTAAAAAATTGAATTATACACATGGAAATGCCACGTGTCATTAAAATTTAAATATAAAAGCCACGTATTAAATTTGGTCGGAATTTCTTGCCGTTGGCACTTAAGTAATCGTTTTTTCTCCGATTTGGCACTTAAGTGATCGCCGGCGTAAACTTTTGGCACTTAAGTGATCCAAATGAAACTTTTGACACCAAAGTGAGCTCCGTACACAACTTTTGGCACCAATGCTGTTCTTCCCCCTATCTTAAAATACCACCTAGTAGACGTGATTTCATCAAATATAGCAAAGGAAGTAAACAAGAAATGTATGTTATACTGAAGAAAAGCACTCACAAGAGATAGCTTGTGCTCAATTCTTTTGACAAGTCTAACACTCTTGGACTTGGAAGCTTCTTTGATCATCTTTTCACGTTCCTCGGTAGATATATCTCTTCCCCATCGGGCTTGAGCCTCATAGAACTCAGCTAAAGTACCTGCTAGTGCATGGCCAGCTTCCTTAGATGGAGCAGCATCAACTGTTCCAGTCCGAAGTTTCTCTTCAACATCTTGTATCTGTTTTGCCAATTCCTGTCTTTCTGACAAAGCAGTAGCTACAGTAGGAGGAAGAAAATCCTTTCCCCGATAGATGACAATGTAATACTTATTTCGAAGTAGTAAAACACCCCCAGTTAAATTCTGTAGAACAAAAGGAAATGTGATCAGTACCAGTAATGTGCTCGAATAACAACTTCTTGTTTTACTCTTTAACTGTGCCTTATTATGGACAGGTGAACAACCAAAGATGCAGGAGATCATACTAGAATTACCTCTTCAACAAGATGCACAAATTTTGCAATATGTCACCATTTTAAGTAACATTCATAGCATCCACAATTATAAACACTTAAGTAGAAGTACCAAAGAGACACAAGGAACTGACTTTTGAGTACTGAAGGGTAAGAAAATAATTATATCACCAGGATACAGGTGTTTTGGATCAGGATGGGCAAAAAACAGACCTTCAGCTCCTCAGCCATGAGTTTATTGTTCGTATTCTGAATTCCTCTTTTAACAGCAATCTTCGCAACTAAGCTCTTCTCCCAAATCTTAATTATCGCAGCTGCCAGACCCTGATGGTTCCTGTTTCTCCCTTCATGAAATTTAAGGAAACAAAAGATGTCAAAAATTTATTCACATAGGGAAGAAGCCGTAATTCAACATGGTGAATATTACCGAGGGCAAAATGACAAGGAAGTGACTTTGCCACCTTCCGTAAGTTGGTCATCTCAGCATTGGTCAGTCGCGAACGCATTCCAGTGGGAAGAAGCCTAAATGGTGTTTTATAACCAGGAATCTTTTGAGGAAGTAGATCCGCATCCACCGGAAGCACTCCCGTGCCCCACCACTCTTCGAATCGAGGGCCTAAGCCATCTAGCAAGCTGTTATATTCAACTTCCTCTTCTGTCAAGCTCTCCTTTAGCTCTGGGCTCCTCACCGACACTTCACTCTTCTCGCATTCTGGCTTCACATCATCGCCACCTTCTGCGACTGGTCTATTGGCTGAAGAAACATCGGGGACAAAAAGAGCATCGCCTTCCCTCACAGTCGGTTGGGATCTTGAAGCAGGGCCTTCATAGTTCTTCCCACGGTACACCACCATAACACTGCCAGACCTCCATATGACCAATCCCCCAGTTCGACGCTGAGAAAAACTACAAGCAGTCGCTTACAAACACTCGAGTCATATTCATTGCTTTCCTTTTCACTTCTAGATAATTCTATGTCATATTCATCAAAACTTTAAGCAAACGTGAAATTCAACTGTCAAGTAAGCACATAGTTCGAAAAGCAAGAAACACTAAGCATTGATGCTTCATCAACATGCGCCAATATTCGATTCATTGGCATTACCAACAAAATTGCAGCAAATTCGTCTACGATAAGCTTTCATTGGACCAACCTCGACGACCTCATGTGCTGTCTTCATATCAACCGCGAGCACCTCATGAAACTTAAGCCTCACAAGCTCCTCCTTCCTCCACTTATCGTGTATCTTCTCCAATAGCGCCTGCGTGATCCCCGCTTTCGCGACGCTAATCCTCTCCCTAAGATACATTCCCATCCTCCTCAACCTCCTAAGCTCCTCGTCCTCGATCGTAAGCTCCGCCAACGACGGCGCCTTCACCGACCTCTTCCTGCCCCCGACGGCCTTCTCTTCCACATCCCCCTTGCCTTCTTTCTCCCATGGCAACAGAACCGCGTCGTCCTCCCCGCCGCCCTCATCCTCCTCGAGGAAACTATCCGGCCTAATCCACTCTCTGCGCAACAAGTCGCCCAGCCTCTCGTCTCCGGTCGGCGGTGCGGCCCTGAATTCGCCCTCTCCCTCCTCCTCCTCGCCCTCCTCTTCCTCTCCATCGTCCGATCCTAATCCCAAATTCCTCAACCTGAGCACGATCCTCTCGATCGCATTCTGGCCTCGGTCATTACCAGAGTACCTCGGCTCAACCGCGCCGCGAGAATCGGAGCCGGCGACCTTACCGGGGGATTCCTCGTCGACCTCGCGGCTCGGCGGCGGTGGCGGCCACTTGTTGAGCCACGGGGCGGAGTGCGGCTTGCCGCCGCCGCCGCTCCTTCCCCGGGAGGAGCCGGCGCTCTGAGGATTGGTCGTGCGGAGGGACTGGCAGAGACAGCGCCGCCCGAGAGCGCAAGGCCGTGGCGGCGGCGGCTTCGGGGAGGCGAAGAGGAGGTGGAGAGAGCTCCCGCCGGAGCCGGAGGAGGCGGCGCGGGGGAGAGCGTTCCGCAGTGGCAGTTCGGTGATTTTGGCAGTCGCGAAGGCCATTTTTTGTCCGGGGCTGGAGCTTCAGCGAAGCGAGGTAGCGTCTGCCATTGTTTTGAATATCGCACAGGAGAAAACAAGAGGATGAAGAAGACGATGACGAAGAAGAAGATATATAATTTTTTTTCGGGATATTTTGTTTTATTATTTTTTGTTCGGAGGTTTTGAGATGGATCGGGCCTCAGAAACAAAATGGGCCGGGCTGGGCCATCGCTCGTGTGGGCCTAATCAGTCATTGGCCCACTCTACGTGAAAAAACGATACAAATGTTCTCTCAACTTTTGGATAGGGGTGATCGGTTCTCGATCCGGTCCGGTTCCCGATTCCCAAAATGGGGAATTGGATACCGGACCGGTCCAACAGAATCGGTCACTTTTTTTTTCCCACTACTTGATACCATATATTTTGAAACTAAAATTGTGTTCCCCATGCCGACTACACATAATCGCAAAAACAAATGCGTAATTCAAGCCAATGCGATGACGAATTGTGTTTCCCATGTCGACTACACATATGTTCTAAAATTGGAATTGTATTCCCCATGCCGATTACACATAATTACAAAAAAAAAATTATATATAGTCAATCCGGTCCGATCAGTCCAGTTCCCCTTGGAATAAGGAATTGGACCGCCCGGACACCGATTCCACTTTTAGGAACTGGGACCCGAATTGACACTTACAGGAATCGGACCAAACCCGTCGGTTCCAGCGGTTCCCGGTTTGGGCGGTCCTTTTTGTACACCCCTACTTTTGGCCAATGTGTAACGTTATGCTTGGACTTTTAATCAGTCATTGACTGCTGGCAAGGCGACCCTCACCGACCATGGGCGAGGCTAACCTTCGCCAGCGGCCGGCGAGGGACGGCCTCCCCACGCCTCGCTTAGGCGAGGTCGTCTCTCACTTGTTGCTAGCAAGGGTGGCCTTGCCTATTGCCGACAAGGGCGACCCTTGCCCAGCCCTTTGCGGGCGTCACCAGCCATCGGCAAAGAAGAAAGAGAAAACCGTAAAAAGGAAAAAAGAAAAAATAATTTAAAATTAAAATTGTCTTTGGACGATAATCCCCTTGACCAGCCGGTGACCGACAAGGTCAAGCACTTATTTGAAACTGTCATGGTCACTTCAGGCTTTTATTTAAAACTAATATGCCACCTCAAACTCTTATTTGACACAAAGTCCACTTTGGGCCCTTATTTGAGAATGGAGCCTTAGTCGCAACTCACTCTCTCACATGCTCTGTTGGCGTACATTCTCTATTTAGGCATAGCCCAAATTAGCCCGTTTTGAAAAAAAAAATCTCAAAGGAGGAATGTGAAGTAAGCCCATCAAATGAGTGGGCCAGGTCTAGTTTGGGTAGGGTCAGGTCGGGTCGAAAATAGTCCAACCTAAATTGATCCATTTTTATGCAATACAGTTTTAGCGACTCATACCTACACAAATCCAACCCATATTATTAAAATGCATCCATATTTTATAAAAACTCACCCATTTAACTCACTTTAAGTTCTTCATGTGAATATACTACTTGTACAATTTTATATAAATTTAATAAAGTAAATTAACCGAATAAAAGGATGATAGTAAAGAAAATAAAAAATGTAATAAAACAGAAAGATAGAAATAATTATAACGAACTAGACAATTATGCATGTGTTGTGAAAAAGTAAACATCGAAACACAATGGGAGTGGACCACCATGTCGAGAGAACCTCTTATTATATATTGAAGTTGACCAAACCATCTATTTCTCGTTATTATTTGATAAATATAGATGTCATTTTATTTTAGGAAGTGTTGATATAAAGGAAGCTCTATCACCATTGATGTAATCCAAAGAACAAAGTGGAAAGGCTTGTGAAGACCGGAAGGACCTCAATAGAAGGTGAACAAGTCGGGAAGAACGTGAAGTTCGTGATGACTTGGAGGCATCATAAGGCGAACAATTCAGCGAAGCTTTATTCACCAACATACTCAAGATTATCAAATGGAAAGCTGTACGTAATTCAACTACAAGCGGGAAGTTCGGATAGACTCATGGATCGCTAATATGAATAGCTCTTTATATCACTTGATATGAACGTCTGCATCACTTGTTTACATATTTTACTTTGAAGACGCAGAGATTCCTTTGATTGTCAAAAATCAAAGGAATATCACTTGTTTACACGTTGAATTGTCTGTTTAACAAATCCATGATGTCCTGTTTCTTATGAAGTAAATCAACGTGAGTGTCGATGACGCTAGATCAGTGAGATGTTTCCGCAAAACCCTTAAATATAGTTGGATCGCATGCCGGAACATGTAATAAGATTCCGTATCTAAGATGCACAGAGCCACATTATTTTTCCAATGCAATGCCCCTTTAGAAAGTTCTATCATTTAATATATCTGTTATGTCTTAGTGGTGTAAGATTTGAATGATGAAACAGTATAAAGCATGGAAAAAGAATATAGCACCGCATGTTGAGATATATATAGAGAGAGAGATAGACCCTACGTCCAGTTTCCCTTAGTGGGGGTATAATGAAGAGAGAGAGAGAGAGAGACCCTGCCTCCCGTTTCCCATAGTGGAGATATAATGAAATGATTGCTATTCAAAAAATCTTGTGATTGTGTATGCGATTGCTGCACTGTTAACGACACAGTGAATTCCATGGACTAGATGCCTTTGAAATCGTAGCTTTTTATCACGGATAAGAAGCAAATGCGAAACCGAGCGAAACGGTCCTAATTGTTCGTAGTTCGACCCTACAATCGTCTCATTTTTTAATTGAATCTATATGTTTTTCACGCAATTATCATACCTTGCAAGCCAAAGATGCGCCGTTTTTTCAATACGGGAAGACAATGGCCAATTCCTTTTATTAAATGTCCAAACCACCGTCGCATTCCCTTTACACTGCCATCCTCTTTGTCTTGACATCAAATATCCGCAATGTAGCTTGACTTCCCGTATTTGAAAAAGATGGAGAAAGATGCTTCGAGTCATAGCAATTGATTGGCGTCATCAACCAGACACGCGCGCACGAAACGATTCGCACCAAGAACAACATCAATTGTCGTCTTTGTTTAATGTTTTCTTGTGTGTTTCTGTTTTTATGGGGGATTGTTTCAACACCCGCCAGTGGCAAATAAAGGTGATATCCTCACGGTCATAGGGTTCTCCCGCAGGTACACTATAAATAAGTGACGATTTGGATCTGCCTACGCTCAAAGCCTGTCCGGTTTAACATTACTCTTCCTCCTCCTTCCTCCTCCCTTGAAGCAGCAAGAAACGTTCCTGCCGTTGGGTAGCGCCTTCGTCGACGGTAAGCTTTCGAAACTTGGACAAACTCAATTGAAGTGCACAAACTTGTCGACCTTGAAATCTGAATATCCTGTTTGCCGTTTCATTCTCTCATAAGTTCATCACTCGTCAACTACTGTTTATTTTAGTGTGGCTTCTTGTTTCTTGTTGGGTTAGGAGTATTTTTGCTTAAGGAAAAAAATTGATCCGAAAAAGGAAAACGCTTTCTTTAACCCACTCATATTCAGATATATGCTAAGTGCCCTTTTACATGGGTTCATCTTCTCTTTGGTTCTTGGCGCAACTCAGTCATGGATGTGAACTCGATCTTTAGCTAAGCAAATCCTCACTTTGTGAAGTTGACAAACACTCCTAAGCAAATCCGCATATGAGCGTTTAACTCGTTTTAGCATCTCGTTAAACCATTTATATCATACACGCACTTATGTTTTGAGGTTTTATATATGTCAGTAATATATTGCGAAGTTGACAAGATTACTTCTCAAAGTTGAGCAGCCCAAGCGGTCGCAATCTCATGGGGGAGAGACAGATGGAAGTCCATCGGTCATCTCTCGATGTCTTGGCGAGAGCTTCTTTGCTAGTCAGCGAGGGACTGCTAAGTCTCTCTCCCACGGCTCAAACCAGACCGATCGAATTGCCGAGCATCTTCTGGGACAAAACGCTGGAGATGCATGGCCAGGGTGTGATGCTCGTGCTGGAGAAGAGATTGCGGGCCACTGACATGGACCCAAACCAAGGTAGGCTCTCCATACCCAAGTTGCAGGTACGAGCAGATTTCTTGAGCGGCGAAGAGGTCCGAACCCTAGACAACAAGGAGGCCATTACAGTTTCCCTCATCGAGCCTTGTCTGGAAGTACGCCACGGCTTGCAGCTCAAGAAGTGGAATTACCAGAGCGGAACTTTTTCTTACGTGTTGATCAAGCAGTGGAACGCTGTCGCGCGCCGGTTCGAGCGGAACAGCCTCGAGGAGAATAGCCTCGTCCAGCTTTGGTCCTTCAGAGTGGATGGCGACCTTTGCTTCTGCCTCGTGAACTTGGGAGCACCCTCGGCGGCGGCGGCAGCGGCAGCAGCGGAACATATGGCTGCTCATGAGTGATGGTCTTGGTCATTCTGTTTTTTCTCTCTCTTAAGTCTCTAAACTGCCTCTAATTAGGGTAGTTCCGAATACATAGGGTCCTCTTCTTTGGTTAACGTATAAAGATAGCCATCCTTTGTTGACATTGGATGTTGGCAATGATTTCAACGAAAGTTTTAGGTTTGGGCTGAGCTTTTTGGTCGTCTCATCGATGATGAACTATCTCCCCACGCGATGAATAAAGCGGTCGTCGCGAGTTGGGGTTCGTCCCATTCAATTCAAGAGGTCGTCACATCCGGTGATGGAAAAAAGAAGAAAAAAGATATTATCTCGTCTTCTCACTCTCTCTCTCTCTCTCTCTCTCTCTCTCTCTCTCTCTCTCTCTCTTCATATTTTGACTCCTTTTGTATTAAATATATTTCCTACCTTAATATAAAACTACGCTTCCTAAAATGTAAAATACATAATTTGCGTGTACTTGAGATATAACTAGCCAAAATATCAATTTAACGTTTTATTGGATGAGTTGCTCAGAATGATTAATATTATGTTAATATTAGAATTTTATAATACCTAATACAATAGTATTAGGTTCGGAAATTGGGTCAACCGATTTGGTTCCACGGTTCCAAAAACTAGAAATCAACTCTAACATGATAGATTTCAGATTTTTACCTAGAAATTACTCGCTCCGGAACCGAACGTGTCTTTTTAATTATTGCCTCTTTTCTCCTTGATTTTCATCTTGAGATGAAATACTTTAAAACAATTACAACGGGGGATCAAATATTAACATAAGATTTTGCTACCAGACCCCGATTTTTCCTGTTTCTCCCTTCATGACATTTAAGGCCACAAAAGATGTCAAAAACACCTCCATATGACCAATTTCCCGCCCCCCCGTTCAACGTCAACAAGCTGTTGCTTCATTGTTTTTTTTTTTTTCCTTTTCACCGTTAGACACTCTAAACACAAAACTTAAAACGCGTTTGGTAACGTTTCTACTTCTCTATTTTTTTGTTCTTTTATTCTCCGGAATAAAAAAAGAACAGGAATATATTTGGTAATGTCAGTTAATTTTTTTATTTTCCGAAATAAAAAAGTGGCCAAGAAATAGATTTGGAACAGAAATAAGAAGTAGAAAAATTTACTTCTTTGTTTCCAGAAATAGAAAGGTAGAAAGGTTTCTGTAAACCCTAAAATTTTTACTTCTTACCTCTTCTTCCTTTTCAAGCAGCGGCATCTTCAGCTCCTCCTCCATCCTCCGTCGTCTGCATAGCACTAGCCACCACCCTCGTCACTCACGGCGAAGCCCCAGCCAGTCGAAAGCTGCCGGTATGCTTTTCTGTTCTCGTCTCTATTTGATACTCTCGCTGATTTGGGCGCGGGCCGCTGCCCTCGGTCCATGGCGGCGAGGTCGGCTCGCGCCCAGATTGGCGAGGGGGGCCCTCACTTGATGGCAATGAGGGTCGCCCACGCCCAGACCTTGCTAATTTGGGCGCGGGCCGTCCCCATTGCCGTCGAATGAGGGCCGCCCTGCCGATCTAGGCGCGGGCCACCCTCATCGCCATCAAGCGAGGGCCGCCCTCATCGATCTGGGCGCGGGCCGCCCTTGCTCGACGGCGACGAAGGCCGCCCGTGCCCAGATCTGGGCGCCCTCGCCGATCCGGGTCGCCCTCACCGATCTTGTACATCGTTCCTCTTTATACAATCGTCAGTATGAAGGATCTAGGTTCTTCATATCTTTCTAAACCTCTCGTAGAAACGATCCAAACATTATTTGCGATTTGTTTGTCACCAGTTGTATATCAACAAATGAAAGTGAGCTTTTGGTCTGTTCTTTTCAATTCTCCAGTGCTTTTGTTTTGATCCAGAAAGAGTTGAGGCTGCTATTGTGGAGTCTCATTTAGATGTATGGTGGTGTTGAATCTCACACTCTGACGAATCGCATATAAAATCCTTCTCAAAATCGATCTTGGAGTTCTGAAATCTTGTGTCATCATTTGCATCTAATGCTGCAGGATCTTTCTTAAGGCTCTCTTGTGTTCTTGCAGCACTCGATAGCAATTATAGGAGAGAAACAGATGGCAAAACAGATAGTCCTAGCTTTAGCTTTGCTGTCTCTTGACTTTGATAGTTATTTGACATTGTCATGTTTAACATTCACTTGAGTGAAGCCACGTCTTATGGGTTGCATGTTGCATGGAAAGATTTAGACTCAGTGCGTTCTGCTTTGGGTTTGCCTACCCTGCTTCTCTACCTAGGCATTCAAGCCCGATGTATAATTTAAATATACCGTGAAAATAATTGAGGACTAGGACTACGGCTAAAGTCTCCTGTCTTTTCTTAATTGGTTTCAATTTAGGTTGTGTTTACTTTGTTTTGGTGCTTACCTGCGTATTTTGAGAGTCACCTAAATTTGGTGTATCCCGTGAGTTGGGAGTTCTCCATTACTGTCTCATTAATTTTATGAAGGCGTGGATCCAATTTGCAGAAGCTACCCCCAGAAGCAATCTGTTGTTTAATTGGTTTCAATTTTATGAAGGCGTGGATCCTCATATGTATCTTCCATTAACTTGGTATGTACCCTTATATCTACAACAGGGAGGGTATCAAATTGCACTGTCTTAAGGTTAGTATTTTGTTTTCGAGTAATACCTAACTACATGTATCAACTTTTTGTGGCATTTATTGTTTTAATTAATAAATTAGTTAATCTCTTGTGATGTTGCAGATGACTTTCCTCTATCATTGTGTATTGTTATTTGGGATTCGTTTTTTGCTAATTAACACATTTAAAGGCTATAAATTCATAGAATTGGTTCTTTCATGACACTAGATGGAAAATGTTTTGTGAGTATCCATGTGGCACTTACATTTTCTGGCTGCTAATAATAGAAATCCTATTGATGAAATTCACTTCCATTTTAATTCCTTTCTAGGGGCAACTGTGGTGGCCAATGTTGGGTGGTTACACTGTTATGATTATGTTATGATTTAATGTAGTATTGCGTGTAATTCCTATATGACTATGGTATGATTTAATGCATGGCTCATATGATGCTCAACCAGTGAAGGTTAAATGGCATCATAGAAAGAGGTATTCAATGCAAAGTGGATCGAGCCCTTAACCAACCTGTTTATAAGTTTGTTGGTAGAAGATGTCAAAAAGGGAAATCGCACCTCTTCTACTTACAACAAAGTAGGGTGGAATAACATACGAGCTAAATTCAATAATAAGACAGAGCTCCAATATAACCAAGTACAATTGAAGAACAAGGTGAATAAACTGAAAAAACAGTATGGTAGTTTTAAGAAGCTTCTTTCACAATCCGGATTTGGCTGGGATAATGTGAATAAAATAGTTATTGTCGATGATCCAAGCATATGGGAACCTCACATCAAGGTATCATTTAACTTTTGGTCCTTTTGAGATCATTGTAGATGTAAGTTTTAAGATATTTGATTATATTGCTAACGTATGTCATCATTGTGAGAATTGCAGGATAATAGTGAGTGGGCAAAATTCAAGAAGGATGGGTTTCCTCAGTATCCCAACCTGTGTATTGTATTTGGTGATACATATGCTACTGGGGAGCATGCTATAGGAAATGCTAAAGACTTGATGTTGTCAGATGATGACGAGGGACTATTCAATGGTGGTGGTGATGCAAACGGTGATCCAGAAGACATCAGTGAACACCACCTTGATGAGGGAGTATTTACATCTGACAAGACAGCTACTCCAGTTCATGGCAAGTACAAGTTGGATAGGACTCCAAATACGAAGATGAGAAGAGTGAGTAACTCATTCAATGTTGCCAACACCTGCAAAGCCATACATGAGATGATCAAAGCTAGGGCTAGTCAATCTGTGACTGGCTCTGTCACTTCACATGTCGCATCACCACCTATAAACCCATTCTTTGTATCTGCTGTGATTGATGTCCTAGTTAGCATGCCTGACTTGGACCGGAATCTTTACAACAAAGCAGTGGAACGAGCATGCGCTAGTGCCAGATGGAGTGAGGCTTTCATCAAAATCCCAACTGAAAGGAGAAATGGACTTCTCCAATCTCTTAACTAAATGTTGGGAATTGTACCATGGATTGCGTAGGATTTTCATGACTTTGTGTTTTATTTTACTCTATGACTTATGGTATTGCTTGTTATTTGGTTTTTAAAGATATTCATGTTGAGACTATTGTATTTGTGTGGTGGCATGGGTGTGATGGATTGCGTGGGATTTTATATTTGGTTTGCTTTCACTCTACGACTTATGTTATTAGTTGTTGTTGGTTTTTTTTTCCATAAATCTATATTGATGTTCTTTTATTTGTGTGATGGCATAGGTACTATGGAAGGGGGAACAAATAATGTGTCTAATGGGGAGGTAGCACCAGTGGAACAATATTTGGATGAGTATGATATTGACATAATAATAGGATGGTTGTGCACTTTTTCAATGGACACGTCCATGCATTTGAGAGAACCTATTAGGGATAGCAAATTGTCAGGACCCGAATGGGTAAGAGAGATTGTTTATGGACATTCAGATAGAACATATGAAGTATTTAGAATGGAGAGACATGTTTTTCTAAACCTATGTGATTTAATGAGGACAAGAGGTTGGTTGAAAGATAGTCGGTATGTTAGGATAGATGAACAAGTTGGGATCTTCTTATCTTTGGTTGGTCACAAGAACTCCATCAGAAATTTATGTGAGAGATTCCAACGTTTGGGAGAAACAATCAGCAAGTATTTTACCGTAGTATTGAAAGCCGTTATGAAACTGTCAAAAGAGGTTATCAAGCCACCTTTTTTTGATGTTGTCCCAGAGGAGATTCTTATGGATCCTAACCATAGACTTTACTTCAAGGTATGATTTTCATGTCGATTTTACTCTATCAAATACATGTGTTGATAATCTTGTATAACACTAAACTTTCATAAAATCACAGGGCTATGTAAGTTCTATTAGGGCTGTAAATGGTTCGGTTCGGTTCGGTTTTCTTGAAAAATCGAACCGAACCGAACTGTTTAGGAAGCACCCCTGAACCGAACTGGAACTCGCTCGAACCAAATTGGAACCGAACCGAAAAATCGATTTGGTTCGGTTTGGTTTGGATTAGTTTTCGGTTTCTTCTTCTTTTTCTTTTTTTTTTTGCTTTTTATTCATGGCTCGATTTTCTGTTTTTTCTTCTTTTTTTTTGCTTTTTATTCCTATAAAAATATTTTAGTCATTTACACTATTCAACTATTTATAATTTCGATTACGTATTGCTGAATCGCCATTTTGAATAAGATGAAAGTTAAATAATTCTTTTTAATATTTAACGACATTTATTTCCTAGATTTGAATCTTTAATGTCAAAATGTGAACATATTCATGATATTCTACGTAAGAGAATCATCGATCTTGCAAATTAAAATAAGTTGAGTGGTTGAGTGATTGTAAATATATTACAAATTAAAAACTCATTATTTAAAATTGAAAAACGAAAAAAAAATCACATATTTAAACTAGGTTCCGACCAAAAAAAAACTAGGACATTTGATATCATTAATATAATTTGTGTTAGAAGACTCTTCCGAATGAATAAATTCAATACGTCATTCTGAACAAGATTAAAGTTAAATAATTCATTTTAATATTTAATGACATTTACTTTATAGATTTTGAATTTTAATGCCGGGGTATATATATATATATATATTTTGCGATGGGCCAAGTGAATTTCGACTTTAATCGTCGTCGCATATGTACCACACTGTTTTGTATAGTAAATAAAGAAACTAATACTCTAATATTAATTTCTCATCCATTCACAGAATCCACACCTCTCTAAAATATGCCTTTAGACCATAAATGACACTATATAAACTGTATAATCAATGCAAAGTATAGATGGGTATCCTAAACCTTTGAAATAAGTCACATTCTAATAACAAACAAATAACAAACCAACAACCCTTCACCAGATTATAGAACCATCACTTCATGCACAAGCCGACGACTTTCCCAACGTAAAACCCAATCTTACTCTCGACCACTTTTGTCAATATCGAACTGCGTATCAAAATCCATGCTTGCTATATCGCTCAACTCAATTGCTGACCTAGATAGTCGAACATGGGTATGTTTCTCTCGGACATTTCCTCAAACACCTTCCGGGTGAGCATACACATTGCATAGAAAGGACCTATAAAATATGCACTTCTCAAGCCTGGCAAAAATCACAACCTGTACAAACACTTGGGCAAAAGGACACAATAAGTGCCATAACTTATGTACGGAGATCACTTTGGTGCCATAACTTTTTTTCGGATCACTTTGGTGCCAAGTCGGAAGAAAAACGATCACTTAAGTGTCATAAATTTTTTTTGGATCACTTCAGTGCTAAAATTTTTGAAAAACGATCACTTAAGTGCTAAAAATTGTTAAAAACGATCACTTAAGTGCTAAAATTTTTGAAAAACGATCACTTAAGTGCCAATCTCCGGCGAGCCACGTCAGCTTCAGAAATTAATAAAAAAAATGCCACGTCGGATTTCCGGCGAAAAATTGTGTACGGCACCGGAGTTGGCACTTAAGTGATTGTTTTTCAAAAATTTTAGCACTAAAGTGATCCAAAAAAAACTTATGACACCAAAGTGAGCGCCGTACATAAGTTATGGCACTTGTAGTGTTCTTTTGCCCAAACACTTGTGGATGAACTCGGCCTCCGATGTAAAATATGCACTTCATTGGAGTGGGTGAAAACAAGAAGTGCCATTTTAATGTAATAGAACCAAGATAAAAGGAAGTTCTTACAAGAAGAATTCATATATTTGATTACATTAATTCTAATGTCAGAAATTAATAAGACCCAACTCTGCCAAAAGGTTCTGCTTTGTGATGTCTCCTCTCAGTCCTCCAGGTACAGGGTCAGTTGCTAGTACATAAAGCAAATAGACTACTGCGCAGAACAACAAAAGTTGCTCACTTGCTTTCCAAATGGTTCCACAGTTGCACCTGTTAAAATCACAAGATAAATTGCATGTCACTGAAGAATCTCTTGGCATGTGTTATCTGATGAGGTATCGCTTGGATTATTCCTCTTCTAATTTTTTTTAAAGGTTCACGGCCAATCACACAGCTATGATATGAAATCGAGTCGATATAGTGACATGCTATTGAGCCTTCCTCTTTTTAAAAATAATCATATAATGGACTAGCTACAAAAAAGAATATAGAATTTCCAGTACTCACTTGCTTTCTTTACACATCAAGGAGATGACTACTTCTCTTTTGTTCGTCAATCATCAAGAGAAACCAATATCGAGTTCAGTTCCGCGGTCACAGTTGACAACTCTACATTAAATTCATAATAAAAATGAGAATTAAAGTATCTATTGCAATAGTAAAGGATATAAAATATTTCACGTTAATTTTTTCTCACCTGACTCAAAATTTTCGAGTTCTTCTAAGTCCTCCTCAATCGAAAGTGAAAGTGGTGCGGATCGTAGCCAATCTTGAGCTCATATAAGAGCCTCCACCATATTTGGGGTCAAGGAGCTACGAAACACGTCAAGTACATGACCTCCTATGCTGAATGCAGCCTCTGATGCTACAGTTGAGACGGGCACGGCCAAAATATCTCGAGCAATGGAAGAGAGGATAGGATATCTCGAAGAATTGACTTTCCACCAATTTAAGATATCAAAGTTGGAGCTATAGCGTTCACATTTTTCTTCCAAATACTTATCTAATTCGGATTATTCTTCCAAATATTCTTGTCTCGTTTGGCTAAGATACATTGCAGTCATAATGTCCACACCAACCATAGGAGACATTGACACGTTCATTGTCTTTGTACCCTTTGACCTCAAATTGCTTTGGGGGCATATACCGGTGCGGTATTGCTCGAACAATGACGTTAGAGATAATGTTACTTTATCTCGTAAAGTTTCCGCCCGCTTGCTTTCATAAACTTGATTAATCATCCATTTCACATACTCTCACTTATGTCGAGGGTCAAGTATGCATGCAATGAACCATGTTAGATTGATGTTGTTCACATTGCTAAAATACTTATTGAATTTGGTCTTCATTCTCTTGGCCATTTCTTGCAAACTCCTATCCTCATTCACACAATATCTTTCAATCATCATAAAAATCCCACAGACATCTTTCGCCATATCATTACTAGTGACATAAAAACAACCCGATACTTTTAAAGTCGTATCATAGAACAACTTCAAGAAAGAAAGAAATTGACGGACATATTCCCAATCATCACTAGTAGGTAACCCCCTCACCTTGGAAAGCTCTTCAACAAATTTGCTATCCCGTATATCTAGTAAGATAAAGCCTTATGAAACTTCAAAGCCGCTTCCAACATCAGGTACATTGAGTCCCAACGAGTCTCCACATCCAAACATACAAGACTCTTAGACTCGATATTTTCTAGCTCAATGCACTCCTTAAACCGTTGCAACCTCGCAGGAGAAGACCTCACATAACGTACAACTGAGCGTATTCTAACAATGGAATCATCTATATCTTTCAAACCCTCTCTCACAATCAAACTCAATATGTGAGCACAACATCTCACATAGAGTAACTCACCCGACAAAATTAGAGTGTTCCAAGAGTGGAGCCTTTTTTTCAAGTATTGAACTCTCAAGTCATTTGAGCTCGCATTATCCACGGTGATAGAAAAAACGCTTTTAATCCCCCAACCAGTCAAGCATTTTTCCACCGCTTTTCTTATAATCTTAGCAGAATGTCCCGGGATTTGACAAAAATTCAAGATTTTCTTTTGCAACTTCCAATCACCATCTACAAAATGAACAGTGAGACACATGTAACTCAAATTTTGACAAGAAGTCCACGTGTCCGTTGTGAGACAAACCCTTGGAGATGTATCGAAAAAATATTTTTTCAATTTGCATCTTTTCTCCAAGTATAACTTATAACAATCCTCCCTCAATGTGTTTCTTGAGGGGATTGAAAACTTCGGCTGGATCCTACTCACGAATTGCCGAAATGCCTCATTTTCCACAAACTTAAAGGGTAATTCACCAATGATGAACATCGTTGCTAGGTCTTTTCGACTAGTTTCTTGGTCAAATTTCCATGGACCAAATGACCTAGAACTACCAACCCCAACAAGTTGACCCGAGACACTTTTTTTCCTTTTCTCAACATTCGCATATGGAAATTCCTTACATCTACCTAAATGATTACGCATCGCACTAGTCCCTTGAGAGGTAGAACAACCAATAATAGCCCCACAATATAAACATTCAGCTTTGTCTGGATTTTCTATCCTTTTATAGTGTTCCCAAGCAGTAGATCTCGTCCTCCTTCTATTTGTGCCACTAGATTCACTCATTGAAGTAGACATCTATCAATCTATGACAATTAAAACCTGAAATTATTATAATTCAAGTGGCTGTGTCAAGTTAACAAACTTTGTATCACAAGCAAATACTTAATCCAAATAAAAGCCTAATAGAAGGGGTAGCCATTAAAGCACCAGGACAGAAGCTTTGCACAACCGGAAACTTCACTCGAAGCTTTGCACGCAACAATAAGTTAAGAACAGCAGCTACAACCTAATGGTTCCACTGTGCTGACCTAATTCCAAGAATCAATCTCAGGACACAAAATGATACTGATAAGAACTCAATCAATCCGCAAGCCCCTCGCCCCAAAAACCTCCTCAAACACTCGGGATTAGTTAGTTGCCCCAAATGAAAAAGGGAACAACGAAATCGATTTCTAATGACTTGATCCTGAGTGAGTCAAAACCCATCAACTCAAAAACATCTATGATCAACAATACATCGCCACCCTTCAAGAGCAATTACTTTACTCAGAGAAGACATAAACATTGCCGCGTCAAAGGGCTACCAAACCTCATCACACTACTGAATTCTCTGAACACAACGGAGAACCGCATCAAACTAAAGCAACCCAAATGAAGAAATCCACAGAACAGGCAAAGAGAACAGAAAGATCGAGACTTTTCCACAATTTAGATGCAAAAATAGTACACCCATCAGAGGGAAAACAATCAGTAGGAAAATCGAGAAGCAGAGAGAGATAGAGAGGGAGAGAGGTGACTTGTAGGAGCCGAATCTTGGACAAATTATTGGAGGCTTCATGCTTTAAGCGACGCAGGAGTCGGCGCCGAGAGAGAAAGCCCTAAAAGCTTTGAGTCGTCGCCTCGGACAAGAGCCCTGCGATGAGCGAGGGCAAGAAGGAGGGGGCTAGCAACCGCGAGAAGGAGAAGGCAGAGGCAAAGGAAGAGCCGAGGACGCAGAGAAGGTGCATCGCTTACGCGAGGGCGAGATAGGGCTTTTACTTTTTAGGGCTAAAATCGAAGTGTTTATTTCAGTTCGGTTCGATCCAAACTGATCCGAACCGAACTGAAATAAACCGAATTGAAAAAAAAAAAATGGTTAATTTTGATTGTTCAAATCCAAACCGAAACCGAGCCGAAATGCATGAAATTTTCGGTTCGGTTCGGTTCGATTCTGTTCGGTTCGATTTTTCGATTCGGTTTTGACACCCCCATGTGCTATTGATGGCACCTACATTAATGCTTCCGTGCCTGTGTCGAAGCAAATCCCATTTAGAGGCATGAAAGGGACTATCGCCTAGAATGTCTTGTGTGTTTGTTCATTTGATATGAAATTTATTTTCGTATATGCTGGGTGGGAAGGATCTGCCAATGATTGTCGGGTGCTCTCAGCAGCACTCAAGACTCCTCAATTGCAATTTCCTCGACCACCACCCGGTATTTGCTTTGTTTATAAGGAGTAATTTTCTGTATGATTATATTGCGTCGATATCATAACAAATTTATATATACCTTGTTATAGGAAAATACTATGTGGTAGATTCTGGTTATGCAACACTTCAAGGATTTTTAACTCCATTTAAAGGTGAACGGTATCATCTGAATGATTATAGGGGTAGGGAGAGACGGCCCAGAACAGCAAGAGAATTGTTCAACCATAGACATTCATCATTAAGGAATGTCATTGAGAGGTCATTTGGGGCATTAAATAATTGCTTCTTCATTTTAAGACACATGGCTCCATTTACAATTCGAAAGCAAGCATGTATTGTAATTATATGTTGTGCTATCCATAATTACAGTCGTGATCAAGAAAGGATGGACAAAAACTTTTCCCTATATGGAGATCCGGAGTACCCATTTGGACCTACACAAGTGGAGGATGCAGATGAGTGGCATGAGGAGGCAGTTGAGATGAATATGCTTAGGAAAAATATTGTAGATAAAATGGCAAGGGATCACAATATGCCTGAGATTCCATGACTTTGTGTTTCTGACTTATGTAATATTGTTTATAAATATTTGGCAACATTTTGTTAATTAGCAGGTATTATTATCGTTGTATTTTTCAAATCGAAAGCTTGTGCTGCGTTTCAAACAAAGGTTTGGCAAGCTTTCAATATTTGGCAAAGCATGAGTCGATGGGATATTTTAGTACTGGGAGTATAGAGAATCTCTTTGGAGTGTTGGCATTCAACTACGCTTTTCTTGCTGCAAATGAAGACTACTCCTCCATCTACATGTTCAACTTTATTGGATGAAAACAAGATGTATATAATTTAAATTGATTTTGTAAATTTAATCATCATCAGAAAATTAAGGATTCATGTCTATATAGATCAATTTTCAAAGATACTATGACTATTTAAGTGATTAATAAAGCGAATGAATCATATTCAAGCGCCCAATAAAATCCGCATCATCATCCACGTGTTATTATAATGTCGTATATGGAGTTCGAATGTTCTTTATATATATATAGCGGCAAGGAACTCTATGCATCATAGGAAAGAGTTCATAAAGAGAAAGAAAGGTATAATCTTCTTAAGTGACAAAAATTAGCTACGTCAGCTGTTGTATATTATAGCACCGTCAAGGTCGACCTGAAGAGTTCTTCACATTCGTAGAATGAGTTCTCGTTTTGTTTATTTATTGGTAATAAAAACAACTAACGCATGGTTAAGATGTAAGCATTCTTTTTTATCTTTTGGTAATTTAATATGAGAATAAATAGTATTTATAATGGCAGTTGTGAAGAAACTTTTGAAATAGATAAATATGGTATTCAAAATAATAGAAAGATTAAGAAAATTAATTTTATCCATGAAGAGCATGCTAAAGATATATATAAAGTAGTGTGAGTTAAAAAGGATTAGACAAACTAATAAACAATGCTTATTGGTTTTTTTTCACTTATAACTTGTACTTATAGTTGAATAAAAGATATATACTTGAATGAAAAAAATTGGGAATAGAAATTTTTTTAGTTGTACCAAACGCATTTTTGTTCTTTTTTTATTCTAGGAATATAAATTTTGTGCAGTTATCAAATGCATTTCTATTTTTTTTCTATTCTAGGAATAGAAATTTTGTGCAGTTACTAAACGCATTATTTTACTTAGAAACTCATCCAGGAAATAGAAATAGAAAAAACTATTTCTGAAAAGAAATTATTCCCAGAAATAGAAACATTACCAAACGGGCCCTTAACTGTCAAGTAAGCACAAAGTTCCAAAATCAAGAAACACTAGACATTGATGCTTCATCAACATATGCTATATTCGATTCATCGATATTTCCAACAAAAATGGGGCTAATTCATCTACAATAAGTTTTCATTGACTCAACCTCAACAACCTTGTGTGCGGTCTTCACATCGTGCGCGAACACCTCATGAAACTTGAGCCTCACAAGCTCTTCCTTCCTTCACTTATCAGGTATCTTCTCCAAAACCGCCTGCGTGATCTTCACTTTCGGGACGCTAATCCTCTCTATTGACATATCCCACATCGCTTAATTACGGGATTTATATGCTCTTTATATACATATGATCTCCATGTACTAGAAGCTTAGACTTTTGAGTTGGATTTTCTAATATGATATAAGAGTCAAGTTCTGCCCCTTTAGTATATGATCTCCATATACTAAAA